TCAAATTTTTAAAAATACTTCCACGGTTAATTTTAGAAACCATTTGAAGCAAATACAATATTAGAAATAGTATAAGTTTATTATTTTGCTAAAGAAATATAAATATAAACCGAAAAAAATAAGTTTATTGTTGTAGGAGAGTATATTAGTAAGAATTTTGTTGAAAGGATATTTTCCTTAAATTTGAAGGTGTGAATATGATGACATGGAAAACGGAGGGGTGGAACAAGACTCCTATGATGAAGGAGACGACAAAGAAGCGAAATGTTTGTAATATTTTAAGGGTAAAAGGATACGTGTCCTACGTAGGGTCATTGAGGAAACAAGGGTTGGTGATGAATCACGTATTTTCACGACCTTTTCTGGAAATACCTGCGAAAGTAAATGCGATTCGTGGACACGTGGCAGAACCTTAACGGACAGATCGGATCCGCAGCGTCCCGTGATAGAAGCCGCGTCGGACCCAAAAGTCCCTCGCTACTCGTTCCTTCCCTCTCAAACAACCACAGTTTAATAACCTTTTTAGATATTTTTAATGCAACTTTAATAAAAGAGGAGATAGGTGCAAAATAATTCAATTCTATTAATTGACCTTAACTTTAGTAATGATGAATGAATCATAATAATGCTTTTGGGTGTGAAAATATTTATCCATGTCTACACTATAAAGTAGTTTATCATTTAATAGCTACGTAAAAATTACTTTCATCAAACATAATGTTAAATCTTAGCGATACCTTATGAACCAAATATTTAGTTGACAAAAGATTCACATGATCTTTAAACCTTTTGCAGCGGTGAAGAAGATACTCTCTTTTTTTTTCCGTAAAATGTTTCATGCATAGCAAGTCATAATCACAACTTTATTTTTAAATAAAAAGGTTTACCACATAAAAACAAAGTGGGAATAAAATCATGTAGAGCGAGATTCATGCAATTTGTAAAGTTGGTTCTAGTTTTTAATTGTTTGCAAATGTTTTTGTTAAAAGTGAATTTACATGAAGTAAAAAGATTGGGAAAAATAAAAAATAAAATCAGCATATGGTAGTGGAAAACAATGACAAGAAGGACCCACATGAATACCGGGAACCTGATGCAGCTGTAAGGCATGATGGCGGTTCGCGTGCAATAGAATGGGACCACTACCGTAGCAACCGGTCAGCACCTTCTGATATTTTCCTCCCTCTTCTCTCACATTTTGCCTTTGCCCTATATATACCTCTCCCTTCCCCATTTACCCTTTTTGATATAAACTGAAGCCGCAACCCTTGCGCTTCGCCTCCGCCGCCACACTCGTCGGTAAACGCTCGCCGGAATATCATTAAAAACAGAAACCCTAATCCGCGAACCCGCGTAGTTGCAGTGAGTTGGTTAATTCATTCATTCACTCTTCGATTTTCTCGGATACCGTTAAATTCTCAGATCCGTTTTCCGTGGAAGTTGTAATCATTACGTGCTGAATTCCAATGAAATGCCGTAATTTCGTGTTGCTCTGTAGCGTTAACCAATGAATCTGTTTCGCTTTGTTGTGCAGGTTGGAGTGAGCTAAAAGGAACACTTTTCTCTCCCACAAAAGGGGATAATCGCGATTTTCATTCACTGGTTTCGTTTTACGACGTCGTTATGGGACTCAAGGTTCTGCAATTGTCGCAACCCGCTCTTCCTCATTCTCCTTCCTCGTCGCAAACTCTCGCTTCTGCAATCTCTTCCCCTTCGTCCAAGCCTCGAACCTTAGTTTGCAGCTTCGTGCACCGCTCCAACCTCTTCCCAGCGTCCACGCGTCTTCTTCGAAAGACGAAGTCGCTTGATCACCACGCGCTCTTCACGCGCAGGGGGAAGCTGCGGAGAGCCTGCAGCGCAAGCTTGGAGCCTTTCTCCGACGAGGAGTTCGCGAAGAAGATAGAGGATCTCGCTCTCAAGTTTCAACTTTCGTGTGACGCTGCCAATGCCAACGATTCCGAATCAGAGGATTTTCAAGAGATTTCTTCGTCCGTGAACTTCGCCGAGGAGTTTCAACCGCCGGAGGAGATTATTCCGGCGAATATTGAACGGAAAGCGAACAGCGTGGAGCTTCCGTTTTCGTTGAGGATAATTAAGAAGAAGCTGCAGTGGAAGGAAGGGTTTAGAGACGCAGGGGAATCTGCTTATTGTTCAGTGAAGAAAGCGTTCTCTTCTATGGTTTTTATTATCAGAGAACTCCATAGTTACACTCTTCAAATGAGGGAGGTTCTCTTCTACGAAGATCTGCAAGGGATTCTCCAACGCGTGCAGAACGAAATGCACGCGTCCTTCGTGTGGTTGTTCCAGCAAGTTTTCTCTCACACGCCGACTCTCATGGTGTATGTAATGATTTTACTTGCGAATTTTACTGTTTACTCAATGGGACACAACTCCGCCATCGCTGCCGTGGCCCCACCGCCGGTAACTACCGTCGTGGAGGCTCAGGGCCAAAGGAGTCACACTCATACAATTGATTCCTCTGCCGTGAAGACCTTTTCTGTTTCCAACGGGAAGAACACCGCCTCCGTCGGCGGAGGCAATGGAGGCGGCGGGAGGGTGCGTCCTGTGGCGAATGGCACCGATGGGGATGGCCGGTTCGACCGGTCTGACAGGTACGGTACGGTATTCCCCGATGGTGCTTCGTCGCAGGTTTACAAAACAGGAGAAACAGAATCGGTGTTGGGACAAGAGGAGGAAGAGGCGAACCTGTGGAACGAGATGGTAGAAGAAGCTTCGAGAATGGAGGAGGATTTGAGAGGGGAGGGTTTCGATCGCGATGCCATGAAAAAGTTCGTTTCGCCGGTTGTGGTGAGGATCGAATCCGATGACTATGCAGAGTATCTGAGAACAGAGCTTGTGTACCAAACAGGGTTGTCTCAGGATCCTAACAACCCCCTTCTTCTTTCCAACTATGCCCAGTTCCTCTACCTCGTTGCACATGATTATGAAAGGTTCGTGTCGATCAAACATGCTTCACTTTTATTTTGTACGTTAAAATTCACTTCTTCTTTTTTTCACTCTGTTCATCTTACTTTTTATCGATTCATAATATTATTTCATGAGACTTTTTCATTGTTAAGCCATCTCCATGAGCTAGTTAGATCAACTGAAATGGAGTTGTTTGAGTTTGAATAGTAATTTCAAAGTCTAGCCCCGAATATGTTGTTCAATTAGACATTCACAGTAAGACTTTTGGTGCTAGTAATAGTGCTCAATTGTCTCTTACGAAGAATGTTACGTGGATCCGAACAAAATCACTTTTAACTTGTTGTAATAACTTTTGACCAAAGGATTAGTTATTTCATGACTATTTGAAATGATTTCTTATTAAGAACATGCCAAGGAAGTACATTTTTTAATATATTTTTCTAACATCTTATTTATTAAAAAGTATTGGAAAAGAAAGAATATAGAATTATTATCTAAAAAGTGATAAATTTCAAACTTTATAACATTTAATAATTTTTATTATTAAAAAGAGCAGTGTTATTTTAGCCATAATTTGTTATTTATTTGGTTAAAATTTATACTAGCATTTTACTTGTCCTTATGGTGAAAATGAAATTTACAGAGATTAAATGTATTAACTTTGTTGTGTGCGTGTAATAAGATGTATTGAAATTTATTATTTTCAGAGATGTCACTCTGATTGAGGGAGCATATTCTTCTGGGAAAGAAGTTTTGTTTATTTTTTGCTTGGAAACTAGACTTGACGAAGAAAAGATAAACAAATGGCTTTTTGTCCAATTGAATATTGAATATTGAAGGTTGAATATTGATAGTTGAGTGTGTGGTGTGGCTTACCTACACCACTGAATCGCGAGCAAGATCTATCGTCTTCAGCACGTGATATATCCACGTGCAGGACTGAAAGATCTAACACGTAACCTAGTTGACTTTTACTTTTCCGCGTATACGACATGCTAGGACGAAGATTACAGAGACAATAACGCATATAAAGAAGAAGATCCTTTTAACTTGTTGGGTGTTGTAGGTTGCAGTTGGAATTTAATTTACATGTGATAAGTGGTTGTGTTATCGACTAATAATTGGATTTGTGGTTTGAACACAGAGCCGAAGAGTACTTCAAAAGAGCAATAGAGGTGGAGCCACCGGACGCCGAAGCATATAATAAATACGCCACCTTTCTGTGGAAGGTGAAGAACGATTTGTGGGCTGCAGAAGAAACTTATTTGGAAGCCATTTCAGCCGATCCTAATAACTCCTTCTACGCTGCTAACTATGCGCATTTTCTATGGAACACTGGTGGTGAAGACACCTGCTTCCCTCTTTCCTCCCCAGACAACTCCCAAGAAGTTTAATCAACACAAATAAAACCACATTGCAGAAATATATAAAGAAAAGAAAAAAAAAAGAAATTTTGTAGCTTATATCTCTTTTTTCATGTTACATTTATTCATTGGGGTGGATGAGATTATGAGATGGCATATAATAACTTTTGTAATTATTATAATAATAATAAGAATAGTAAAAAAAATTGTACATAAGTCTTACAATATAGCCCCTTCTTTAATATAATTGACCCGTGCATGTTAGTTAATGTTGCAGTGAGTGTTATAATTAAAATAAGTAAATTAATATCGATGTTGGAATAATGCTTATTGCTTTGCACGTTGGCAAGAGATGGCAATGCATTTGAGTTGGAGATATTGGGAGTGTGATGGGGGAAATGAATCAAATAGTTTTGGTGATGAGCCAATATGACTGGAGGTTTACTTTTGCAAATGAAACAGTATTACCATTCTTATCTTTAGCTTTCTCTCCACAGTATAATCACGTGGTTAATGTAATAATCTTTATGGTCAAATAATATGATGTTTTGTTTTAAAAAGAAATAAAAATGTGTTGTGAAGGGTTGGAAGAGCTCATTATTCACGTGGAAATTGGGATAATTATGATTTAAATATGTTGTCCTGTATACTTTATTATCGGAATGATCTCATTTATCTTATGTAAGCAGTTTTGTTGGATTCGCGACAATGATCAGTGGTTACAGTGTTTCTTCACAGATAATCATTAATGACGAAGAGAAAGAACGAATGTGTATTGGGATATTTTGAAGGTCCAGCAAATAATTTTTAATATATTTCAAATTCGTTACTATTTCTATATGTCTTCACTGTTGGAATCATTTCTACTTCCTTCTACTTTTCTATTATTACAAACAACAAAGAAAGTAAATGCAGAAAAATTTGCCAGAACAGCTTAAAAGAAGAAATCATGAAATCAAAATCCAACAATATTATTTTGCATATTTGTTTTCTTCTAGACTATAAGAATATTATGATTGAAAGCTATAATAAGATAATGCTGTATTTTATACATCAAATCATATATCTATTATGAAATTGCTACATAAAGAGAAAATGCAATGATAACAAGATGTATTCCAATGAAAGTGTAAATCATAAATTTGATCTCTGTGATGAACTAGTTATTACATCCTCCGTGATTACATCTTTAGAAATATTAACTTAGAATTTTTGAGAAGTATGAAGACTTGCATAATATATCATGTTAAAAAAAGTAATCTAATATTCAAGAAAAATGTAACTCTTTATAGAGTATTAACCGAAACGAGAATATTAACTGAAATCTTTGACACACAAAGATTATTTTCGAAAAGAAGTTTATATAAGCAATATTTGACCTTTAAATCAAATAAAAATGCTTAAAGGATTTATCTTATATGGAAAATAGTTACACAAAAAAACTCATTCTTATGAATGTGGTGTGAATAAAAATTAGATGAATGATTGAGTTAGCTAGGGTTATTGATGTAGCTAGCATATGACATGCATTAATGTGTTGGGATGGGTTTTGTAATATTTAAGCGAAGCCAAACACAAAATGACGCCATTTTCACGTGAAACAAACAGAGGAACTCATCCACCATCTCCACCCCATCACTCGCATCTAATTAAATTAAATTCACCGCTTCAACTTCTCCATCTTTCTTTTTCTTCTCCTTTTAGGGTAAAATAATATTTCTTTTTTCATTCTCAATATTATTCCTTCATTTAACTCTTGTGTATAAAGTAATAGATAGTATGATAATGCAAAAGTGATAAGCTAATTAAATGGTAGGTAAATAATTCTAATTCTAATTCTAATTTGTCTTCATAATTATCACAACTAGTGGAATCATGTTGTCCTCCTCTAACAATTTCACACCTCTTACTATATACTATGTCTTATATTTAATATACATTAATCTTAAATTTTAATCTTAATTTTTTTTTATATATAATAAGATACTGTAACTAAGAGAAATTTAATCTTAAAAATTAAATTTGTGATTTATAATTTGAAAAAATGAGGATGAAATTAATTTAATTTTTTCCTTCATTGTTTACTATAAATATTAATTATTAGTTTTTTTATTGTTGTTTATTTTTAATTAATACTTAATTATCAATGATTTATTGTTTCTAATTGTTTTCATATTAATTAATTCATTAATTTAATACACAAGTACAGAAGTAACATTAGTTTTAAATGGAAATTATTTATCCCAATTTTTTTGTTTTTTAAGTCAAATATTATTAATATTTCTAAAGATTTGATGTACCTTCGTTGAAATAAATAAAAAACGACTATGTGCGTTGTTGTCTATGATTATTTGTCATAATTTGTTTATCTAAATTTAGTTTATAAGTTTCTTATTTTCAATACTATATTGTTCCTCACAATTTAAAAAGTAAATAATAACAAATTTACGATTAAAATTCTAACATAATAATTTATTTTAAAGTAATAAAACACAGAATCATATTTTTTAACTCAATCGTATATATATAACTTAAATTGATAAATTATTTTATTATCCTTAGTCATATTTTTTGTTATATATAAAATTTTCAACTTTGATTAATATTTCCTCTACTGATCTCAATTTTGAAAAAATATATTTTTCGATGATGAATTAAAATTTTATGAAAATATCAAAACCATTATCCTATAATAAAAATAACATAAATAAGTAATTATCGTAATTAAACTGATTTTATAATACAATAGTGGCAATATATTTGATTGATCTTGACAACTAAATCTAATAAATATTTTATAGTTTTTCTAAAAAAAAGTGTTATTATTATATTAAATAATACAAAAGCTCTTTATTTAGTTTCATCCATAACATAAATAAACATAAATATAAAAATTTATATAAAATAATTAATTTTATTGTATTTACTGAATAAAGAAAAGATGAAAATATAAATATTAATAAGGAGAATAAAATTATTTATCTTTAATCAAACTTTCAAATTGATCAATAAATATTCTTTTATAATGGTAGCTTAAAATTTCAATTTCTAAAATAAATATAATCATTATTATAAAGAAAAAAAAATCCAATAAATATAAATATTATTATAATCTTTGAATAAAATATATATTTTTTATCTACCAAAAACATTTACTATTTGTGATACGTGAATTATTGCATTGAGGAATTTTTTACACAAAGAATGTTAAACTATCTGTATGAATATAGTCATGAATGAATATAATACTCATAGTCATTTTGGATTTGCTAAGAAACAAGTGGAAAAAAATAAATGGTAATATAAAGTAGAAGAAGATTAAATGTTGTTTTCAACCGTGTAAAATTTCAAATTTCACTCATTATCTTATCTGAATTTTTTGATGTGAAACGAATCATGATTTATTTCACATCTTAGTTTATAAGAACAGAAAAAAAAAAATAATAACAATAACAAGTTGTTTCTCATTGTCTTTCTCTATATGCTTTCTAGTGTAATCCATACTTAAACGCTAATAAATTATGCTCAAATAAAATTAATTTTGTAAATATATGTTAAAATACTTTAAAATATAATAACTTTTAATTCAATATACACTTAATTTATAATATTGATATAGTTTTATTCAAATAATTCTACTTAATTTCTAGATAAATTTGATGACGCTGATATTTATAATACAATAAAATAATTTTTAAATATATATTTAATTATTATAAAATACGTTAAAATAAAATATAATTTAATTCAATATTTTCTTATTGTAATTAATTATTGCGAAAATTGATTATTCCTATCTTAATTTTTGCACTAATTACAATAAATAAAAACATTTATTTATTTATTTATTGGACATTATGATACCTAATTAATATATTTAATTATAAATAATTGATTTATTATAGGATTAATTAATAATTTAAAAGATATAAATAATTATCTAAAATATTTTGATAAAAATCTTATTAAAAAGAGATTTTTTTACAATTATAGGTGTATCTCTCACATTTTCTTTAGTATTCAATAGAATAAATCTAATAAATTTTGATGATTATCGAAACCGATTTATTTGAATGCATTGAGTAACTTTATTAAAATTTGTGTATTATTATATATATTATTGGCAAGAATATCGATATAAATTTAATTCAAAATTAATATATTTTTTTAATATATTAAGTGATTATAAATTTATATTAAATGATTTATCTTGCAAATTAATGAAATTGTTGAGGTTTTTGTTTTTAATTATTAATGTTTTATTTGTTTTACATTTAATTATTTATTTAATCTAATATATTATCAAAAGAATTTGAAAGTAAAGTATTTACCCATTATTCCACAGAAATATTTGGTGATATTTGTTGGGGAGGGGGTTCACGTAAAATTAGTTTTGGAATTGATGGGAATTATTTTATCTTTTTTATTCATTTTTATTTAATTAAATATATGTAATTTATACTTTTGTTTTTTACCTAATTTTACTTACTATTATTTTTATCTATTATGTTTCTCTTTCCTCTATCCAAAAGGCAAGTTAGTAGATATTAAATTTTTGAGAATGTTATAAATTGTTCGAAAAAAAAAAGATTAATGATAAATATTATTTTATGAAAAAGTATATTGAGTTTTTATTCAATTGTTTAATGTGAACGTGGGTGAGCATTTGATAAAGATGGAAATGGAAAAGACAGTGATTTTGGGAAGTGACAGAAAGGTGACAACAACAACAGGGCCTTCTGGGCCCAGAAGGCCCAGAAGTGAAATGACAACGCCCCCCACTTTTCCATGACTTATCTTATTTCTTCAATAACCATACTCTTTGTGGACCAATCAAAATATATCTTTATTTTTTATGCACAATTTGCTTTGTGCCACAAAGTTGATAGGGTTTCAGCCCCAAGTGAGACAACAACCCCTTCCCCACTTTCAATTTTTTTATATATAATTTTTTTTTCTTTCTATATAAGTTAAGTATAAAAAGAAAACTATATTTAGAAATTAATTATCTTTACAAGAGGTTCAAATCCTTACTCATCTATGTGGATAGTTAGAAGATGCCTTAATTTTAAAAAATTAATATAATTTAAAATAAATATATATTTGAGAATTTTAATTTTATATATATATATATATATATTATTTAATTATGGTACAACTTTCATTCAAAATAAAAATTAAAAATAATATATAATCTAATTTTATTTATTTGTTTTATAGATTCATACTAGGAATAATAATATGGATAAGCTTGTCTCATTTTGGTGGGTCGTGTGGTAGATCATGTTAAATCTTTTAGCGTGTCTTATATAATTGCATACATGTGAAAATACAATTTATTATATTTTTTTTATTTTTATAATAATATATTTAGAAAGGAAAATTTAATTATTAAAAATCTTAATTAAATATTTCAATTTTATTTTATTTTTCTTTATTGTTAAATCTTACCCCTAATTTCTTAATTTTATTAATTGTCTTCTATATTTATTTTAAATAACCAAGTAATAATTTAAAATAAAAATTTTAAAAATAAACAAAATATATTATTAATGACAATTCAAAACTAATAATACAATGATATATTAAGAGAAAAAACGAAGGAACAGATTAAAAAAATAAAAAATAAACTAAAGTTAATGTACACGTGAACTTGTAAATCACATGTTAACAGAGCGGAGCCAGGGTTCCCTGTATATATAATTATTAAAATTTAAAAAATTTAATAAAATGATTTTATAAATATACAAAATAATAATTATAATAAATATTATTTTTATTTTTTTCATAATATTTTTCTTATATCTTCTCTTTATTAATATTTTTTTCCACCATTTTACTTTTTTTTTCTTTTAACTTTAAATATTATATTCTACTTTTATATTTTCTTTATCACTCTTTTATTTTTATATTTTTTCAATTTTATTTTACAACATAAAAATTATAAATTTTTCTTTAATTTTTATATTTTCAAAAAAAACATATTTTTCACTATTACAATATTTTAAGACGGTATTATTTGTCATTAATTATTTGATTATTTTAATATTTTATGATATTTGATTTTTTATATTAAAATATTCAAAAGTTGAATTTAAAAAAATTAAAAAAATTATATATTAAAAAAATAAAAAATATTTGATAATTATTAATGATTTTCATATCATAAAATATCGTCAAATATAGTATCGAGCAATTTACACTAAACTATATAATAATTAATGATTTTCATGACATAAAATATTATCATAGTTAAAAATATTTAATTTTATATATAACTATTTTATATTGATATTAAATATTCACGCCTATAATTATTTATTATTTTTAATAATTTTATTTAATATATTTATTTTTACAAAATAATTTAAATGCAATATCTCTTTACAAAATTGGCCTTATAATAATTTTGTTTAGTTTTACAGAAATCCGTATTTTGGTCCTTATTTATATAATTTTAGTCTTTTAGTTTTCAATTATTCATAATTTTTGTCTCTGAAATTTTTGACACGATTTTGGTGTATTAACTTTTATTTTTCATAAAATGCTTTATTATTTTATTTTCTTCGTCCATTCATAAGACTTATTATTTTTAATTTTTACATAAATATTTTTTTATTTTAAATTTTGTACTAAAGAAAATAATTTATAACAATCATTTTTATTATTCTTATTTATACTTTTGTAATCACTTTTTTATATTATATAGTTATTGTAATTATTATATTATATATTGCATATGCATTGTTTGTCAAATAATTTAATATTTTTTTAATACTTTTATAATATATAATTATTTTAATGTCATAGTAACATAATAATATATTAAGTATATAATATAATTCTAATGTAAATATATATATATATATATATATATATATATATATATTAAATTTTAAAGTGTTGAATGTATTACTTATTATTTAAATAATTAATTTATTACTTAATTTTATTAATTATTAATAAATAAATATGTTGATATATTATAGATTATTAATAATTAATTAATAAATCAATATTTTTATAATTTAAATGATATGTTAATTAAAATTTAAAAATCAAATAATTACTATATTTAATATTAATTAATTAATTAAAATAGTATTTTTTATTTCAATTTTATTAGTGAAATAAATAATTTTAATATTTATCAATTAAACCAGTTATATATTAATATCTATCAATTAAATAATTAATAGAACTATATTTATTAATAAAATAAGAAATCTACTATATCTATTAAAAAATATTAATTTATTCGGAAAGAGATTATTGACGAATTTTTTTTATCGATAATAAATATAACATTAATATTTTAATTACTGATACAGTTTTCTATCGATAAATATTCATCAATAATATACATTTATTCATGAAATAATATCCGTTTATAAATTTTTTATTTTTAATCAAATTTCTTCTTATAGTAACACACACACACACACACACAAAATTAAAGTATTAAATTTAGTTCTATCATTCCTGTGTCTTATTCGAATATATAAAAATTACATACAAGATTAAATATCATATAAATAAGAGAACAGTTTTCAGTGATCTTCACCGGAACATCTTGCCATCTCAGCAAAATCTTGAGGTTCATATACTTTCCATTGAACTGTGGAGTATGGATGAAAGACAATCAACGAGATAGAGAAAATATGTTTAATACTTAATATAATAATTTTAATTTAATGAATTCAAAAGTTTCACATAATTCGCATAATAATAATAATAATGAGAATTAAATATAAAACAAGCGAGGGGACGTGGCCAATTTGATAGAAGCTACTTTTCAATTCAGAAAAATCCTGTTTTCTAAAAAAAAAAAGTCAGAGAATAATAAGAAAAAGGTTTTGTTATAATTTTGGTTTCTATATTTTGAAAAATCTATAATCTTGGTAACTGATTTTTTTTATGAAATTTCAATTCCTTAATTATCTAATTATTCATAACTTTGTTCTTTTTTAAATTTTGAAAACGTTTACAACATTTAAGTTGAATAATTAAATGTGTTTCAATTGATAACTTGAAAACTGAATAAATATATATTTAATTCGCTAAAACTATGAAAATAAATAACGTTCAAGAATTATATCTTTTGATAGATACAATTATTATTATTTATCTTCATTTAATTCATTATGATTTTTTTTTCATTTAATTTGACACAATTATTTTCTATATATAAAAAACTTTAAAACATTATAATTTTCTAAAAAGTATATGCATAATAAACATTATTTTAGGTGCGTGTATAAAATCACACTTCAAGATAAAGGGATATATGTTTGGATTGAGAGATGAATAAGACGAAGTGGAAAGAAGAGGAAGAGAATGAAAAATGATGTTATTTGGATTGAGAGTAAAAAATAAAAAAGAAGAAGAAAAAAAGAGTGAAAATATAGTAGAAATTCATTTGATTAATTAAAAATTTAAATAATAAGATAAATTGATGACTGAGAAAAAGATCTTTTATCATTTATTTTAACTATAATAAATATAAATTACAATAGAGATATAATTTAATATGAAAATTTATTATAAAATAGATAAAAATTTATATTAAAAATTTAATTTATATATAAATTAAAAATTATATTGATGATATTTTATAGAAATATTTAAACTTTTTATTTTTATTTTTATAATAATTTACAAGTTCAACAAATTTGTAAAAAAAAAAGTATTGAATGTGTAAAACTATATAGGGAATGATAATTTGAGAAAATGATCCCAGCCACAAAATCAATTATTTATCCTACATTTGATTTTTTATTTTAGTTTCAATTTCCAAATTATTATGTGGAATACACATAATCAACATTAATTACACCAGTAACGTTTTCAAAATAAAGATGAAATAAAATTATAAATATATGTAGAAATTAAATAACAAACATTTGGGAAATGAAAATTACGAACCAAAATCACAAATTTTATAAAATACAAAGATAAAAAAAGTATAATGAAGTCTAAAAAAATAGCTGCATTCAATATCATTATCATACGTATTCCATGTTTTATACATATAGTTATGTATTAATTCTCACATTTAATTGTTTTTCATTAGGACTTATATCTCAATATATTTACACTAATGCGAAAAGACCTGAACATATACAGTGTGCTAATTTTTTATATATGATCATGACTAAAAACATATATACTATTAAATTAAAAATGTAGAGTAGGAATTGTGATGATAAGTAGAGGAACTTCAACCCTAAAACGTTAGCAATATGTATTATTTCGGAGACTTGTTTAAGGACAAAAAAAGACTCAAAGCAATGTAAGACATTAATAGATGGACAAAGAATCAAAATAGAATAAATATCTGAAAATCAAATTTAGTTAAATGCAAGAGAATTGAGTATTTTATTTGCATGTTCACTAAAATTACAAATAATTTATCTCAATCCACACTAAAGATATCTCGTTACACCCAAAAAAATTCTTAGGAATGTGTACAATCCTTATCCTTTATAATTTTGAACGTGGTATATTGTGAAAAAGATGTAATTTTTTTTATGGCCTTTAATGATTTTAAATATGTAATATATAATAATAAATACTTAAATTGAACATTAACTCTAATTATGTCATCATCGCTATTAATTAGCCCATTATGAATATTAAGTAACATTCTAATATCAATTACATTACACCTACTAATAAAATATTCAACAACTTTCCATAAGCCAGATTTTTAGAAATTTCATAGATGAATCTAGAATTAATATACATTATAAGAGTGAAATAATAGGCTAGGTTAATACAGCAACCATTGATTGCTCCCTTGATGCAATGGAAGTTGAGGAGTTACACCATCACTCCTTCTAGTTTTTGGATAAATAGTGCATAAACCTTGATTATTTCTAATCCATGTGTCAAATAAGAAGCAACCATTTTTTATTTTTCTCATAAAAACTCTCAAACCTTACCATAGACAAGGTTCTTTCCCTTTCTGATTTGATTCTCCATTAAACATAGCTTTCATGAAAAACATGGGAGGAGGTGGTGCCTTTATTCCGCTTACTGGATGTGGAAATTCAAAGGTCCCTAACCCTTCTAAGATTTCTGTTGGTCCTCCTTTGACAGCCATAGAAAGGTTTTTGTCGGCACAACAAAGCTATTCCACTCAGCAACATCCATGCAGTGTTGCAAACAATATCCATGCAACTGCTTTGGATGGTTTTGATGGCTCAACCTACAACTTTATGTGGCATAATGGTTCTCAGGACGTGAATTTTGTTGGACAGTTTTCAGAAAATGAAGTGGCTCTGAATTGGACACAACAAGTCTCCCCACTGTGCTTGAAAGAAGATTTGCATTTGTCAGGGAAGAAGCCCGAAGGGGTGGGACGCAGACCTAGGGAAGGATCTTATATGCCTTGGATCAAAGGCCAGTGGACTGAAGAAGAAGACAGGTTGAGAAATTATGAGAATAATTAACACGCATGTTATCTATGTTTTACTGAATCTTGCCTTGTTTTGTTTGTAATATGTATTTGCACTAAACTTTTGAGTTGATTTCTGGTTTGTTATTAAATGATCAAAGGATACTGTTAAAGTTGGTGAAGCAACATGGTGTAGGGAAATGGTCTCAGATAGCTGAAAAGTTGGATGGAAGGGCTGGGAAGCAGTGTAGAGAGAGATGGCATAATCATCTGCGTCCTGATATTAAGGTCTCTTAATCACCCGCTTAATCCTTGTCAATGGTGCTAATTTTGATGCTATTTCTTATTATAATTTTTACCTATTCAATGTCTATATACCTTTGAGAAAGTTTCATCGTGGAAAAAGTGAGGAAACAAACTATGTGCTAGCTAGAGTTATGTTATTCAAATGATCACACCTACTACAGAGTTGATAGTTCACAACTCTTCAAAAAAATAAAAAATAAAAAATTCAGTTAACAACTCATTCTATTCTTGTAATAATCATGAAAAAAATTATGAAAATAAAAATAATTTTAAATTAATATTATATTATTAAATGAAATTGTTGAATGAAGGTTGATTGAGAAGAGAATGTCAAACATTCTTTCCTATTTACTTCCCGTTTAATATATATTATATTACAAAGATTAAAATTCCATAATTAGTAATTGAAGCATTCCTATTTGACATCATGTTTATCTCACAATTACCTGGGATTATCACATTTGTTAATTTTGTTCTCAATAATCTTTAAAACTCCTATTATTGGCCTAGCCAATCTTTGTGACTTAATCCCACTATCGATTACGTGTATCAAACTATCAAAATCTATAAAAAAAAAATCATGAAATTAATTTCTATCAAACTACCCTTGTAACATAAAATTCTTAAACTAGCATTTTTCTTGGGAATTGAACCTTACAGAAAGATGGTTGGAGTGAAGAAGAAGAGAGGATATTAGTAAAATATCATGCTAAGCTTGGTAACCGCTGGGCAGAAATTGCAAAGAAAATGAAAGGAAGAACAGAAAATGCAATAAAAAACCATTGGAATGCCACCAAGAGGAGACAAAACTCCAGGAGAAAGAACAAAAGAGCAGGAATCTCAAATGGCAAGCCACTGTCCTCTATACTGCAAGACTACATCAAAAGTTTGACTCTCACCAACACTTCAACTCCCTCTGTGGAACAAACATTATTACCACCCCGACACTTCTCTGATTCTGTTACCAATGACAATTTCTCAGTAATGGCTGAGTCCTATGATGATGAAATGTTCTTCATGCAACATGTCAATGAGAATGATGCCAGTGTTGAATCTGTTAAGCAAACCAAGAATATCAACAACTCTTTTGCAGCCTTTGATTATTATCATCATCAAACTAGTAACAACAGTAGTCATCTTCTCAGTGATGTCACTCGATCAGACCATGTTGTTCATTCCAACCTAACGACAAACTCATACAACATGTTGGATGAGAGTCTTTTCCTATCTGAAAAGACTCCTGCAGTCAACTACCTTGATTTTGATGTCTGTCTCTCTCACTTGCATAATGGAACTGCCGGTTCATCATTTGTCTATAATAATGGGATTCACAACCAGAACATGGAGTTGCATTTGGAGAAGCAAGATTGGTTACTAGGAAAGAGAGATATGGATACTGTAGAGTTAGTTTCCTCTACTACTCAGTTTTTGGACCAGTAATTAAGGAGAATCTTAGCTTAGGCTTTTGTATTTGGTAGATTTTGGAACAATTCTAGGGACTACCAAATCAAAATTCCACTACCTATACGTATCGTAGGTTAAAAGAAAGAGTCTACTATATTAGGGTGTTGTATATCCAAACCCTAATTTCTTTTGCTTACCAACATCTTGTATCCTTAAGTGTGAGTGAATATTGAAAAATTGTTAATCATAGATTAAATGATTTATTCAATTTCTTTTGAAACATGTATTCATTTTTTGAAACTTTTTAGTTTTGTGTTTGGCGAAGAATTTATTTATAAGTTGATTTTTTTCTCTCCAAATAATTAATTATTTTAGAAAACATTTTCAATTTTTTTATAATAAAATATATTATTTTGATAAAAAAATTGAAAAAAATATAAGTCTAATTATTATTATAATAATAATTTGATTATTTAAAATTAGTAAGTTGTAAATTTTATAAAAAAAATATATTTAATTTTTTTTAACTTGTCTATCTTTTTTATAATTTTACTTTGTCTTATTGAGATATTTTTGTCTCCGTATTGATGTGATTGATATTAGATGTCATTGAGTCAATTTATCTTAATCAAGTTTAATCTAACTTGATTTAACCCAATTGGTTAATATAAATTTGATTTTTTTTATTAAGCTCAGCATGATATGAATTAACTTAATACGTGATTTAACTTGAGATGACCCATTCTAGCAAATTTATCATATCGGCATAGCAAGGTATGGGGGCGAGTTTTGGCTGATTTTATTTTTTTAACCATCCTAGTTTCACCTTGATTTTTGTTAGATTTCGAGTTTTTCATCTTCTACCTGTTATCGTTCCACCTTAATTTTAAAAAATAATTATATTTATAATATATTAATTTTAATATTTCTATTGTATTTATTTATATAAAAATAAATATTTATAATTTTAAATGTTTTAATTATTATTATTAATTAAGTATATACTTTAATTTATTATATTTATATGAAAATATATATGTAAAAAATCATAATCAATATTTTTTTTATATGAATATAAAATACTTATATTATTATTATTATTATTATTATTATTATTATTATTAGTTACTACAATTGATGTAGAATATTTAAAAATATTCTACATCAATGTGCTGAGCTTGCTCGATTCTCGTCCTCGACTATTTTAACTGTCTCCGTCCTCGATCCAATTTTCGCAGTGATTAAAAATTAAGTTTTCGTTCTCGTTGATTTCGGGTTTCTCAGCCCTTGCCCAATCTATATTGTTTATAAAAAAAATAATTATATTTATAATAAATTAATTTTAATATTTTTATGAAATTTTTATACATAAATAAATATTTATAATTTATAATTATTATTAATTAAATATATATTTAAATTTGTTATATTTATATTAAAATATTATATAAAAGAAACATTTAATCATTTTTTATACAGATAAAATACTTATAACATTATTATTATTATTATATTTATTATATTATATTCAAACATTTGAGTATATTAATTTTTTTTAAGTTGTCATTTAAAAATATAAAATATATATAGTTTATAAATAAATATTTAATAAGTTAATTTTTATTTAATTAATTCAAAGTAATAAAAATTTAAATTATCAATTATTTTTAATCCTTTAAATACAAATATTTTATTAAGATAAAATTTGATATATGATAAGTAAGAATAATAAGATCCAAAAAATATGACATACTAAAATCTAATAAAGATAAAAATTATTTAACAAGTTAATTCTTATTTAATTAGTTTAAAGTAATAAACATTTAAATTATCAATTTTTTAAATAATTTCAAATACAATTATTTTATTAAGATAAAATTTGATATATGACAAATAAAAAAAATATGACATAATAAAATATAATAAAGATAAATTATAAATAAAATAATATTAGTTACTAGTAAGATTTATGTAAAATATTTTAAAAAAGATAAAGAAGAAGAAAAGTTTGAAAAGATTGAAAAAAATAAATTGATTAGAGAGTTTAAGAAATGTGAAAAAGTGAAAGGTAAGAGAAAAAAATAATATAATGAACTAATTGATATAAAAGATTAAAAAAAACAAAAAAAATTAAAAAGTAGATAGAAAAAAAGTAGAAATGGTGAAATATAAAAAATAATTTTATATATAATAAAAAAAGAAAAAAATACTTTTAAATTTTTAATATTTTAAAATTTAAATTTAAATATAAAATCGAGGTGGGACAGGGGTAGAGACGAGGGTGGGGTGTCGGGTGGGGATTGAAGTATCCATCCCCATTCTCACCCTGACTTTCTAAAGTGGAAAAAACTTGAACCTATTCTCAATTAACTCGATTTCTTTTTCGTCAAACTCGGAAAAGGAACATATCAATCCCCAGGTAAGGATTTAATTACCATCCTTTTCCTTATCCAAACATTATAATTAAACATGTCTCTTGACTCAATTTGACATAATCACCTTTAACTTTGGTTTAATTTGATCTAATAATGATAATCTTTTTATTTAATAATAATTGAAATATCATATAAAAATAATTAAAATTCAATAAATTTATTTATTTAAATATAATAATTTAAAAAATATTAGCAATTAAAATTTAATGTAGTTAATTTTTTAAAAGTTTATAAAATTTTCTATCCAAAAACCAAATTATAAAAATAGATTTTGGTATTTATTTAAATACATATAGAAAATATATGGCAATCATGGTGCTTTTTATGCTTTAGTGTCTGAGATATGTTTTATTCTAAAACCAATAAATTTAAGAAAAATATATACATTATATAACTTATAGCTACAACAGAAAGCAAAAGAATGTAATAATATTAGTTACATGAGATTCCATTTGATCATTTTTTAGTTTTTAAAATAATTTTAACGATTAATTTTTAAAAGAATATTTTTAAGATAAATTAAAAAAATTAATAATTTAATTTCAAATTCTTTTAAATTTAACATTATGATCACATCAAAAGTCATACAAAAAAAACTAATATAATCAGACAATTCACCCTCCTACGTAATTTTTTTATTTATTTGTCATATCAGCACTCTATTGTAGTTTTGTAGAGTAACTTTTTCTTGATCAATTTACACTTGCATTACTAACTCTTATTATTTATAATTTCTCAAGTAAATAAGTAGTGATAAAAAAATCAATAAATAATCATTAGTTACTCATAATACTTGGTTGTACTTACAAAATGTAACACTTTTACCTCCTTGCTATATATTTTTTCAAAGACTTGGTTGACTTATGCAATAACATTAATAATATGTTAAATCTTTCAAAATTTATCATGTAATTATTTTGAAATAAATAGAATAAAATAGTTTTATTAATAATCAGAGTAAAATGAGATTCTCAATTTATTTTTTCTTTTTAATTTGTATCTAGCAATGTAGTCCTGAAAAGGAACCCAAGACAAACATTGGGCTGGTGGGTGTTCTGACTTCTCCCAATTCAATTGGGCCTAGGTGCCAGGTGTGTCATATTTTTATTTAACTGAAAAAATGGCATGTTTATTGAAAAAACTTAAATCTACTTTTGGTGTCAACAATTTATAATTTTGATTTTATAATTTAGGTAAAAAAGAAATTCATATAAATAAGATTTTAATTATATAGTTTATTATATCAACAATACGATGTAATATATATATATATATATATATATATATATATATATATATATATATATATATAATATTCACAAAATGACAAAGCTATCTATTAAAATTACACATTATGATATTAATAGAGATTCAAGATTTTGAATATATTAAAAGTTTACTTTTGTTAAATAATGTTTATATCGACGGAACTGGCATTTTGTCGTGTTTGCAAGCTTCACTTATTTTTCTTTTCATTTTTTTTAATAACTATATAAAACATATAAAAGATTAAAATTTGAATATAAATTGTGTAATATTTTTAAGGTAGGAAAAAAACTCACAGAGAATAACTAAAATTATAATTTAATCTTAAATTTAGTTAATGGAACTATTTTCATTAGTCTGTTTCTGTGCGAAAAGAAAACATTTTTCACAATGTTAACATGTGCTGCAGAACGATGCAAGGCGACAGAAAGCCTAACTGATAGAAGTTTAAGGTTGGAACAGTTTGTGAATGTGATGTTGACACGCCGGGCTTGTTCCATATTCCGATTAAACAAAGCAAAACCATGAAATCATCACATTCATTCATACGCAAAACCATTTTTCCTTCTTTCATTTCACTCACTTCACTTCTTCTTCAAGCCATCTCCATGGCACCTTCCTTCAGTTTGACTTTGGAGTCCTAGGAATCCGCTCCATCTCCATTATTCTACTTCATCACCGCTTCTCTCCCACATGGAACCTCTCATTCACACTATCACCTTAATTGCTCTTCCCTTTGCGTGTTCTTCAAAAAGTTGGAGCTTTTATTTGGTGAGTTCCCCTTTTCCGCAACTGGGTAGTAAGTGCGGGTTTTCCATTCCCCTGGAAGTTTTCTCACTTTTTCTCCATGTTGGTATTCTTCATTTAGTTCAAATCTTTCTGGATGATCACGCTGTGGACACTGTGTAAGATAGTTATTCTGTGCACAAGTGAGAACCCCACTTTTTTTTTCTTTTGGCGGTTATCAAATTTTCTCTGTTTTTGCTGCTGTTTTGGTTTTGTAATCATGATTTTTGTGGTGTGGTTCTCACTTGTTTGCTGAATGGCCCAGTTTCATTTCATCATGGTCTTTGTTCTTAACTGTTGTGACGGTTTTATTGGAAATTGAGAATTGCATGGGGCATCACATGGTTTAAGTTTGAAATCCTTTTTTAATTATGAAATTAATTTGGGTGGGATAATGAAATGACACTTCCAACAATTAAAATTTTATTTAAACTGTGTTTATAATTTATATACTGTGTTCCAAGTGAAAAAATAAATTTAAACCAATTTCCAAGGTTTTCATTCTCTTGTAGGGTAGTAGTTATTTTGCTCAGCATGTTTTTAAAATAGTTTTTATGTTTTCGTTGAATTTGTGATTTTCTTGTTCTTCTACTGTTGTAAATTTGCATCAAGTGTAACTGGTCCATCTTGTCTAACTTCTTTTTGTCACCTTTTCCCTATTTCCAGGTTAATGATATGTCGTCTGATTTTAAGTTAGACATTTATTCTCAGCATGACCCTGAAGAAACAGGGTTAGGCAGCACCGTAACATCTAAAAAGTTATTAGATGAAAGGGCTAATGCCACGCACGCAGTTCGCAAGCAAGGAAACTTGTCAATCAACAACTTTGCTACAAACGCCGAACGCAGAGCTTTGAATGATAGGTGTCAAATTAATCTCTATGCATTCACTCATTTTCTTTTGTTTGCTTTGTTTATCTGTTACTGTAAATTCTCTTGGAAGATTTCATGTTCGTGAAAATTGTTTATAATTCATTTCACTCGATCATTCCATGATATTTGACCTGGTTTTTGGGTGGTTGACAGTTCTTGTTTAAATTTTGGGCTTTTGGGTGCATGCTTAACCTTGTACACTATGATTATTGATTTATTACATAGTATTGGTGTTTAAGTAATATGTGGAGCACATTCACCTTTACAAGCAGATTTCTTCTGAAAGCAAACAAGACCACGATTAGTGATAATGTCAGTCTTGATGGAGAGGAAAGACATCATTTGCATGGATCAGCCAAGAAGTCTGGCCCTCTCATATCTGGAGCAGCTTACTGCATTTCTTCTTGCTCCATGATAATGCTGAACAAAATTGTTCTATCAGGTTACAATTTCAATGCGGGAATATCGTTGATGTTTTATCAAGTAAGTTAATGTCTGGCCTTCGTTTTGCTCCGAGAGTGTTAAATAGCAAGAGTTTCTAGACTTATAATCAGATTATAATTCTTAACAACTAGAGTCTCACTGCTTCTTGGCCTAACTCCATTCGTGGAGCCTATTGTAAATGCACACTCATTCATTATGTGATCATTATTCTCCCTTGTACTTTGCAGAACTTTATCAGTACTCTGGTTGTTGTTCTGTTGGCTCTCTCTGGTACGGTTGCAGTTGAAAAGCTTAGCTGGAGGCTGATCAGGGTCTGGATCCCTGTCAATGTAGTATTTATTGGCATGCTTGTCTCAGGCATGTATAGGTATTTTCTTCGCTAACACCTATGGACGTGTTGAACCTGATTAGTAAGACAGTTTTGAAAGGACCAGCTCTACCTTGTTATTTTATTCCACTGCTAGTGTGTTAGTCGATGATCCTCCATGTTGTGCTGCTTCTATCTACACTTATGTCTTCTGGTTCATTTTTCTTTTCAGTTTGAAATACATAAATGTTGCCATGGTGACTATTCTCAAGAACATGACAAACATCTTAACGGCAATCGGAGAATTATATTTATTTCGGAAACGTCAGAATCCCAAAGTTTGGACTGCAATGTTTATGATGGTAAACTACATTCTTAGATTGTACTTGTTTATGTGCTGTTATTTTGGGACAATTTGAGTTTAGTTACAGGTCAGGACCATGTGTTGTATAACATCTAACGTCTCCATATTTAAATGTGGGATGACTAAACCATCTTGTATTCTTGATATATGAAAATTTCATGCATGCTTACTTAGTAGTAAAATTCTAGCAGTAAGTTCAAATAATTGTAAGTTTTAGTTCAATTAAAGTGAAACATGCTGATATTTCATGATGCAAATGCAACAATCCTTGGTAATGCAATGTTTATGAAGCCTCTCTTTGTTCTGACAATTATGTGTCTGACTAATTGGACAAGGTTTGCTGCTTCATCATCTCAAAAATCATAGAAAAGAAAATGCTGATAGCCTGATTTATTTCTCAAGTTGTACGATTGTATCTTCCTAAAAGAAAATCTTCAGTAACCCATGTTATTTACTAAATTGCTAATAAATCATATTAGTTAATAATACTCTTTTTTTTATCAAGTTTTAGCCTATTAGTTTCTGAAGTAATTTTTGTCTCTGTACAAAAATTCATACAGATTATCTCTGCTGTCAGTGGTGGTATTACAGATCTCTCCTTTGATACAGCTGGTTATGCATGGCAGATTATCAACTGTGTTCTTACTGCAAGTTATTCAGTATGTGAATTTACTCTTTCTTTCATGTCAACATTCTTTGAAGAGAATTCTGACCAGTTTGATGCTAGGATTGATAATTTTGAGAATGAGAACCTTCTTTTGATCAAATTTCAGTCATGTTCAATCCAAGCTTTGATTAACTGTTTTCCTTTGTGTGGCAGCTTACCCTTAGGTGGGTTATGGATGAAGCAAAAAAGTCTACAAAATCTGGATCTCTTAACGAGGTGTCAATGGTGTTGCTGAACAATTTATTGTCCTTACCTTTTGCCATCATCTTGATTTTCCTTTTTGGCGAGTGGCATTATGTAATACATGCGTGAGTGAATGTGTTTCTCTTCTTCAGAACTCAATCACCCCTTTTGCCTTCTCACCATTGTTTTCGTCTCGATTTCCAGCGACGTCGTTAAACTGCCGACATTTTGGGTGGTTGCAACAGCCAGTGGACTGCTTGGACTTTCCATCAGCTTTACCTCAATGTGGTTCTTGCATCAAACTGGCCCTACAACCTATAGGTAATTTCATGGAGTTGAAATTCAATGATACATAGATGTAGTCTTGCAAAAAGTCACATGAATGATTGTAGTAATTTCTTATGTATAAAATCTGGGGACAGAAAATGATGCCAAAGACTTCAGTGAAAAAACCAAAATCTCTTTGATAAACATAGAATATACGATTACAAATACCGTATCATGCCATGATTCTACATGATTAATTTTTTCCATATTTAGCTTGGCATGACAGTGATGCACATTAATGTCATATCTGTTAATAGACAAATTTAGGATACCGACTATAATGGTTAGCGTAATTATAGCCTAGAATATTTTTGTATTTCATGTATATATTGTGCTATCATATTCAATACAAAAAGGGGTTTTTGGAAATATTTTTATCATGGTATCAGAGCGAACCAAACTCTGATATCCAACAGCCCGAGAACACAGTCGTACTTCTAAAATGGCAGAGAGAGGAGAGACGGTGAAGAAAACACCATTGCCATACGATCTGAGTGCCAGTGATAATCCTGGAAATGTGATTACACAGGTACAATTACGAGGAGAGAATTACGAGGAATGGGCAAGGGCCGTGAAGATATCTCTGCGGGCTCGAAGGAAATGGGGTTTCATAGATGGAACTCATAAGGAACCTGAAGAAGACACATCTAAGATAGAAGATTGGTAGACAATTCAATCGATGCTTGTATCTTGGATACTAAACACTATAGAACCTAGTTTGCGTTCCATCTGTTGCATACATGGAAAACGCAAAGGACCTATGGGATGACATCAAGGAACGATTCTCGATCGTGAACGGACCAAGAATCCAGCAGCCTAAAGTCGAGTTGGCGGAATGCAAACAACAAGGAATGACTATGGTTTCCTATTATGGGAAGTTGAAAACGTTGTGGGATGAACCGACAAATTACGAGCAAATCCCACGAGTGTAGATGTGGGGGATGCAAGTGTAATATTATGACGCAACTTGAGAAACGAAGAGAAGAAGAAAAAATTCATCGAGTTCTTGATGGGGCTAGATGATGAGGGCTATGGAACTGCACGGTCAAATGTTTTGGCAACAGATCCATTACCCTCGTTGAATCGGGTGTATGGCACCATGGTGCAAGAAGAAAGGGTGAGAACAATCACCAGGTCTAAAGAAGAGCGAGGAATGATCGTGGGAATGGCTATGCGAGCGGAAACCAGGAACAAGTTGCGCAATGAAGCGAAAGAAAAATCGGTTGTTTGCATGCAGTGTGGAAGGAAGGGACATGACAAAGGCAATTGCTTCAAGATCATTGGTTACCCGGAATGGTGGGGAGAGAGACCACGAACCGATAAAAACGATGAAAAAAATCAACAAAGAACAGGAACCTTCCGAGGAAAAGGAGGAACGGCTCGCGTCAATATGGCGCACACCTGGTGCGGATAACGTTGGTTCAACCGAAAACCGAAGTCGCGGGATCGAGTAATGAGCAATGGCGGATCTTGACAGCAATGTTGAATTCTCGCAAGGCAAATGAAACCGAAAAGATGACTGGTAAGAAAGCATGTGACTTGTGGATTATTGATAGTGGCGCTTCTAATCATATGACAGGAACACTAGAAAACTTGAGGGAGAGTCGAGCCTTGGAAGGGTGCCCAGTGGGACTACCAAATGGTGAATTGGTGTCGGCAAACAAAGAAGGATCGATTTTCCTTGATGGAGGACTGAAACTTAAACATGTTCTATATGTTCCGAAATTGAATTGCAATTTGATTTCGATATCACAATTGATCGAATGAAGTAAAATGTACAGTACATTTCATCGATAGATTTTGTGCAATGCAGGACCACACTTCGAGGATGCTGATTGGTGCGGGTGAACGAAAAGAGGGACTCTATTGGTATCGTGGTGTGAGTGGCATAAAGGCGTATCGGACCAATGCGAGAAAATCAACTAGAGATTTGGCACAAGCGAATGGGACATCCCGCTACTCAGATTGTTAGAAAAATTCCGCATCCGAACAGCGTGAATAGAAATACGGATACAACTCGTGTGTGTGAAGTGTGTGAGAGATCAAAGCAATGCGTAAACACATTTCCTTTAAGTGATTTTCAAGCATCCAATATATTTGATTTAATACATTGTGATGTATGGGGTCCATATAGAACTCCCTCGTCTTGTGGTGCATCTTACTTTCTCACTTTGGTTGATGACTGTTCTCGAGCTGTGTGGATATATCTCTTGAATAATAAGAAAGATGTGTCACAAACCTTGATGCATTTCATCGCCTTAATAGAACGACAATACGAGAAACAAGTCAAAATATTACGAAGTGACAATGGAACCGAGTTTATGTGTCTTCAACGATATTTTCGAGCAACATGGGATACTCCATCAAACCTCATGCACTCGGAACACCTCAGCAAAATGGGAGAGCCGAACGAAAACATCGACACATCCTAAATGTAGCTCGTGCTCTACGATTTCAGGGAGAACTTCCACTTCAATTCAGGGAGAATGCATTTTGACCGCAGGATACTTGATCAATCGTACACCCTCAACCGTTCTCCATGGAAAAACTCCATATGAAATATTGAATGGGAAGCCACCCACTTATGACCATCTACGGGTATTTGGATGCTTGTGTTATGCACATAACCAAGATAGGAAAGGTGACAAATTTGCAAGTAGAAGTCGCAAGAATGTATTTGTTGGATATTCAATCGAAAAAAGGGCTGGAAATTGTTTGATCTGGAAAGAGAAGTCTTCCGGACTTCGAGAGATGTTAAGTTTGTAGAACATGAATTCCCGTTTGCCTCTCTTGCCCACGGTAGACATTCGGAGGTAGGATTGCCTACTCGTTGATGTTGGCATTGTCGAGGAAGCATTGCCTGGACTTGGTGCAATGAACAATGCGAGAACACGTTGTGGAGACCGATGACGTTAACCCCACAACGAAGATGTGCCCACAACCGAGTTCGGGGAGGGCCACGCCGAATGCCATGAACAAGAGCCTCCCACCCGGATCGTTCTCCCACCGGAACAAACCGACTCTATGATGACAGAACTAGAGGTTCCCGAGGAGCATACTGTCCCCGCATCCCTGGGGAAAAGTCTTCGTGTACGAAAGCCATCCTGTGAAGCTTCGTGATTATGTCACTAACACCACTTTACAACTCGGTCCCTCAATTCGCACTCCACATTCGGCTTCCTCGGGTATGCCTTACGGTTTGACAAAGTACTTAAATTGTGTTAAATTCTCCTTCCCCCACCGAACCTTTCTTGCGACCCTTCATGCGGAGAGAGAACCCGTGCATTTCTTTGAAGTCGTTCGGGATGTTAGATGGAGAGATGCCATGGCTAGTGAAATTCGAGCCCTCCAAAGTAATGAAACATGGGACATTACTCCTCTACCGCAGAGGAAGAAGCCTCCGGGTTGCAAGTGGATTTATAAAATCAAATATCATTCCGATGGGAGCGTTGAACGCTTCAAAGCCCGATTAGTTGTCTTGGGAAATCACCAAGTTGAGGGGATTGACTATGACGAGACTTTTGCCCCGATGGCAAAGATGGTCACCATTCGGACAGGTGTTGGCAGTGGCGTAGCCAAAGACTGGGAACTTCATCAAATGGATGTCCATAATGCTTTTCCGCACGGCGATCTTGAGGAAGATGTGTACATGAAAATGCCGCCGGGGTTCTTGGTGTCTCAAAAGGGTATGGTGTGTTGTCTCCGCAAGTCCCTTTATGGTCTTCGTCAAGCTCCTCGGTGTTGGTTTGCCAAGCTCTCAACTGCTCTTGTTCAATATGGGTTTCAACGTTCTTCGTCCGATCACTCCTTGTTCATCTTTCGCAAAGGAGATGTCGAACCGGTTGTGTTAGTTTACGTGGATGACCTAGTCATTGCTGGCAATCATCATGAATACATTGCGCAATTCAAAAATTATCTTCATCAATGTTTTCGTATGAAGGACTTAGGGAAATTAAAATACTTTCTTGGGGTGGAGGTTGCCGGATCTCCTACGGGAATTTTCTTGTGTCAACGGAAGTATGCGTTGGACATCATAGTCGAAGCAGGATTGCTTGGAGGGAAACTCGTGTCCACGCCAATCGAAGAAAATCATCGTTTAGCATTGGTCGATGGCGAACTACTTTCCGACTCGAGTCAATATCGACGTCTCGTCGGTCGCCTTATTTACTTGTGTTTTACACGACTCGAATTATCTTACGGTGTTCATGTCCTATCTCAATTCATGCACCAACCGCGTCGAGAGCATTGGCGGGCTGCACTCCGCGTGGTACGCTATTTAAAGGGCAGCCCAGGTCGGGGTGTGCTTTTAAAAAGAGAGAGTGACCTTCGTCTTTATGGTTGGTGTGACTCGGACTGGGCAAGTTGTCCTCTAACTCGAAGATCTCTCACCGGTTGGTTTATTTTCCTTGGTCAATCCCCCATTTCCTGGAAAACCAAGAAGCAACATACGGTTTCTCGATCATCCGCTGAGGCAGAATATCGTTCTATGGCCAACACGACATGTGAGTTGAAATGGCTTCAAGGCCTTCTTTCGAGTCTAGGCATTACTCACACCGACCCTATGACTCTCTACTGTGACAACCAAGCTGCCCTTCACATTGCCAAAAATCCTGTGTTTCATGAACGGACAAAACATATTGAAGTGGATTGTCATCTTATTCGTGATGAAATACAACACAATCATATCCAACCCTCCTATGTGTCCACTCATCATCAACTGGCTGATCTCTTCACCAAATCTCTTGGCGCCACTAAATTTGGTTCTTTTTTAGGCAAGTTGGGCATTCACAACCTTCATACTCCATCTTGAGGGAGGGTGATAAACATAGAATATACGATTACAAATACCGTATCATGCCATGATTCTACATGATTAATTTTTTCCATATTTAGCTTGGCATGACAGTGATGCACATTAATGTCATATCTGTTAATAGACAAATTTAGGATACCGACTATAATGGTTAGCGTAATTATAGCCTAGAATATTTCTGTATTTCATGTATATATTGTGCTATCATATTCAATACAAAACAGGGGTTTTTGGAAATATTTTTATCACTCTTGCATTTTACCAACTTTTACTGTTTCACATGTTTACTCTGATTTGAGTTTGTCTCATGGATTTGTGTGTGTTTTCAGTCTTGTAGGCTCCTTGAACAAGATTCCAATCTCTATTGCTGGCATTTTAGTGTTCAAAGTTCCTCTCAGTGTATCAAATTTATTCAGCATCTTGTTTGGTAATTAATCAACAATCACTTCAATTTTCATTTGGTAATGACTCCTTTAAATCTTACTTAAAACAAAAATTGCACTGTTTTCAGGTCTTTTTGCTGGTGTACTCTTTGCAAGAGCCAAGATATCGTGATGACATTAAACCTTACAAGTTAAGTTGCGAGTATCAATTATCTACTTCAGCTAGCATGTTATTTCTTTTTGTAGTTATATTCGAAATTATACACAGCAACAATAACACCAAATGTAATACGTGAAATTTTTTTGGCTCTGTTAATATCAGTAAAAGATTTTATATTTTGGTTCCTGATGTGTTATTCTTATTTGTCTTTTTGGAAGTAATGATGTGATGCTGTTCTTTAACAAACACCCGAAAACGTAAATAATTTGTTTCTGAAGTAAATTAATGGACGGTCCAATTTTAAGGAATCAAACGATTATATCATTGCATAACTAACACATCTCATCAAGAGTGTGGTTGGAAAAGTTAAGAAATATTTCCTCTTTTATATATAATTTTAAATATTTTAATTATTAACTTAGTGGTTTTAATGTATATGAATTATTGTCGTGTCAAAATAATTATATGAAAGATTAATTTTAAAAGTGTTGTTTATCATTTTTAATGTTATTCTTGTTGTTCTTTTACTTTTATTGTTATTTTCTTTATTATTATTATTATTATTATTATTATTATTATTATTATTTTGTTTTTATTATTGTGAGCGTGTTATTCTTCTTTTTCTTTTTCTTTTTTTATGTTATTTCAAATTGTATTAGTAACTTTTGATTCAACAAGGGTTAAATACATTTTTTTAATTTAATTTTAATTTTAGATATTTTATTTCAATATATATATATATATATATAAATCTTTATATAATAGGATAATATTTATTGAAATACTTAAAAGTATTTATATATTTGATAATTTATTTTTACGTTTTAATGTAACTATGACGTTAATAAATAATACATGAAACTATATCATAAATTATGTAATAGTGACAAAATGAGAATTTAATTATAAAGAATATTATTATATATTTAGTTTAATTTATTTGCTTTCTCAAGAAAAAGTGATGATGAAACATTTTATTCATAGAAGAGAATAAGTATAGAAGTCAAATCCTATGTCTACTTCTCCTTTGATCAATTTGCAAGCACATATGGCGGAAAAAAAAAACTGATAGTAAAGTAGTTTTTTATTCTTTCAATTTCTTTATTTTTTATTTAGATATTTTATTTTATTCTTTTTTTTTTCTCTCATTCCAACTTGTCGAATCGTATTTTGATGACAAATTAAAATGATTTGATATAGTAGAACTTTATTTTGTGTCAAATCCTCCGTTGAAGAATGAAATTAAACAATTATTAATTTCTCTAATTTATGTGCAAAATTAGTATAAACGACATTCTGAGTTTATGACTTTTGATTTATATGTGATTATTCGTAATTCGTAATTCGTAATTCTTTTACTTCAAGGCTTAAGGCATAAACATCATCTGTAAACTTCTTTTTACACAACCAAACATGATATTGCCCTGAGATTTTTTTTTTTTTAATATATGATTTTTTTTCTTTGTTTTATCTTAGTAGCAATATATGATATAAGCTTTAATTGTTTTAGAACATTGATAGACAACAGAAGATGCGAATCAGCAAATGAAATCCATGAATTAAAGTAATATCTTATTTATTTAATATTTTCAAATTTCTTCGGTAGCACATACAAAGTAATTTAACATATACAAGCACTTATCAAAACCTTATAAAACTCTTTTCCCTATCCCTCTCCCCCGAAAAGCTAAAAACAACAAGAAACCCAAACATGCACGTATTTAGAATCAACGTTTTAATAATGCCTTTGTTCTTGTCTTGTTGGTGAGAAAGCAAATCAAACCTAAATCTTATTTATATAGCAAGAAGCTTGGAAGTCCTTAGAAACACCCCAACACGTGCATGTTACAAAATCAAAGTGTCAATCATGACTCGCTTCTACTAGTTCACATAGCAAATCAAACCAAATCAAACAAAAATGGAAAATTGTGAAAATTTAAAATGCAAATAACCTTTTATACAAAATTTGACCACTAAGTATCCTTGGTGTCTTTGGATCAACCATTATTTATTTACATGTTGCACATTTCTATGTGACCATCAACCAACACTCTACAACACAACCAAAAGGGATTTCACCAGAAAGTCTTACATGGACCGCATTCAATTTCTATACTATAATGTGTCAATTTAATGCACAAAATTTCGTGCACAAGGGTCCAATACCCCAGATTATGCAGAACAGAAAAAAAAAATAAAAAACATCTCTTAGCTACAAAGTACTTAACCAAATTAAAATTACAATCCACCATCATGACCGTTTGATCAATCAAGCTAACAAAACCATCATCATCATACAACCATTCAAATCATCACGTCACGTCACATCACACACTATACACAATCACAAAGCAAGGAAGTACAGCCCTTGGATTAAACACCAGCAACTCCTCCTCATCAAGGCGGGTGTAAACCCCACTCTCTGCTCTCGCCATCACAGAATCAAAACTGCCATCCTCTTTTTCGGCCTCATCCGAATCGGATCCAACCCGACCCGCAATCACCCGACAAACAAGCATGGCCCGTTTGACGTTCATGAAGTGAAACTCCCTTTCCACGTCATCTGGGATCGTGGCGTGTGCCCGCCAGCTGGTGGACAGCGTGGCGATCCCATCGAGTTTTGGAGAAAATCCGGACTTGATAATTCCACAGATATTACAAAATTGCTGCGAACAAATCGAGGAATCCCCGCTGTGTCCTAAGTCGCAGAGAAACGTCGAGCAATGGAAGCGCATGAGCTCGTTGCCGTCGGCGATGCAGCGCTCGTCGCGGCGGCGCGTGAGGGTGCCGTGACGCGCTGCCTTGGACTTGACGGCCTCGCGGTACTCCTCAAATTTCGCGAGAATCTTGGGGCTGTTGTGGATCTTGAGGATGCGGGTTATGGTGGGGGTGGGTTTAGATTCGGGCCAACCTGATTTGAAGATTATCTGGACGATGTTGTGGCCCGGGTCGGATCCGGGTAGATCCGAAACCGCATGTTTGAGGGTTTGGTGGGTTTCCAAGAGGTGGGGTTTCTGGAAGATCTCACCGCACGCAGTGCAGGGGAAGATGTCGTTGCGGAGAGGGAAGAAGAGGTTGGTGTCGGCGGAGATGTCGGATTCTGGGCACGACCCGGGAGGTTTTCTGTCCGGGTCGGGTTGTGTTAGTGAAACTAGGGAATGTGCTGTTGCTGCTGCGGCGGCGGCGGTGGAGACGGTGGTTGCGGTTGTGGTGGCGGTGGATTGAGGGAAGGATTGGGCGGTGGCGGTTGTGGGGTTTTTGCAGGACTTGGTGGAGAAGAGGTGTTTGATGAAATGCCAAGAAGAGGAAAGGGCTTTATGGGTTTTGAATTTGGGGTGTGGATGGGAAGAGGGTTGGGACGAAGGTGAGAATTTGCGTTTCTTTGACGGAGGCGTTTGTTTTCCTCCGGCGGCGGTGGTGGTAAAGATGAAGCAGCCAAGGTGGACCAAGAGGATGAGGAGATAGAGGAACTTGTTGAAGAAGGTGGCAATGGATGATGCCATAAGTTGTTACGTAAGGCAGGGAAAGAATGAATCTTTTGTGGTCACTCTAGCTAACTCTATGTGGGTTTTTGAGATTGTGGACAACGGTGGAGGCTAAGAAGGCATGGTGGTGGATGGTGCAACTGGGGTGGTGTTTGTGGATCATTTCATTGGAGAAGATCAAATGAGAGGGACATACATGAATTGGGGTGAAGAAGGAAAGAAAGTGGAGAAAGCAAAAGAAATGAAAGAAAGAATGCAAAGGAAGGTTGATGGGGGAGAGGGGTATAGGGTGGGGGCTTTAGAACAGAAGAAGAATAAAGATAAAGAGACTAAAAAGAGTAGGTGGAACGCAACTTCATAGCGTTAACTGAGCAAAGCAAGCATTGATCTCTGTTTCTTTGTTACTGTGTTGTGCCCCAGACAGAGATTATTATTATTATTATTATTATATATGAGGAGTCTGGGAGCTAAGGATAGTGTTGCTGTGTTGATGATGTATAAGCTTTAACCGAAAGTAACGGTATGTGATTGAATCTATAATATACACTTTGTTTGGTTTGCTAATTTGGCCTTCAATTCAGGGTGGAAAGAGATTCTGTGGTTTCACTGCTGCAACACGGTTAAGCAATTATGAAGCAAGAAATGATCTCACATTTACCTTACCTCCACTCTTCTTGTGTGGAACAACCATTGACGCGGATCAGCAATTATTAAGCCTTAAATAATTAAATAACCTCATTATTAAATTTTATGAATGCATTCTGTAAATAAAACCTCCCTCTCCATACAAACCATAAATAATTAACCCTCCTTTAAACAGTTCTTTAACATGTTATTAATTCACTCTCTCATTCATGTACTTTACATAATTATACAAAAATATGTAGGGCAGGGCCACCTTCCAATAAGACACCCTTTACACTGTAATGGAAATAATTTTTTTAATAAATTTGTCTGTAAAGCTGGTCACATAAAATAATGAAATTGAGATGTCCTTTCGTAGTACAATATATACAATATTTTTATACTTCAATACTTTTTCTTTTCTCTCTTCGTTCATTATTCCTCTTACCAGTCATTTTGTTCTCCTCATTTAAACTATTCATATTTAGTCTTCTTAATTGTTCAGGTTAAATCTTTCTCCTAAAAATTATATAATAATTAATCGCATATCATTAATAAAGATAAGTTGGCAAAGAAAAATTGTATAAAAGATTAAAATAAAATAAAAGATAAATGTTGTAAAATGTAAAAATCATTTTAAAAATTTCTATTTATTTATTTTCCTTTGTAAGTTTGAATAAATCAGTGATAAATTACACCTATGTTAATTAATGTTCTATTAATTATTGGATGAAAACAAACTTATAATTTGAATAAATAAATAAAATGTGTAGATTAAAATTGAGTGGTGGAAGCTAGAGAGATAAAATTATTTATTTTACAATGGACATTTATTTGTATTATAGAGTACAATTTCAATAAAACATTGGTATAAGAATTGACAGATAAAAAGAGTAACTTTTTTATGACATGTCGTAATAAAAATCTCAAAAACATTAAAACAAAACTCATGTAAGGAATGTTAAAACATAAGACTAAGAGTAATTTTAAATTAAAGAAGAAGATGGATATTATGTACATGGCAAGACGTGGAAGACAATGATGTCAGAATAGCTAGACAACAAATCATAGTTGCCATGTGAAGATTAGAAGGTCCTTAAGATTTTGATGCATGAAATGCAGATACTTCACCAAGCTATAGCATCTTAATTTTGCTGATTACAATTTTCTGACTCAAGTTAATAATATAAGTTCCATTATATCACACCAACATCACTATCTCACGTGGAGACTTCCTCATTAACCGGTTCATCCACTTTCATCATAATTTCCTATCATATAATATAAAATACTCATTGTTCTTAGAGATAGTATTTTATTGTAAAATACCCTTGTTTTCATTATATATATATACTACTACTATTTATTTATATTTAACAAAAAATTGATATATCTCTAAAAATCGACATCATAGTATTATCACAATTTTTTTACAGAATTTTACTCTATTATCAACATAATATGAAAAAATCCTAAAAATTAAATAATATAATAGTAAAATATGAAAAAAAAGTCAGAATTTGATGATAAAGTATGCAAAAGAAAAGTTTGATAGTACAATTAAAAAAATTTGATTGTAAAATTATTAAATTAATAATTATTTAATTATTCTGGTCCAATATAATAAAATAATTATAAATAATAAGTTTTTTTTTCTAATGAAACAAATTTAAACAATTTGGTAAACCAAATTATGTAGGTTAAAATGGTATTTACTTATAGGAGGTGTAAGCCAGCTGCAAGGAAATAACCATCTGCATTTGATCCATTTCTGAAAGAGAATCCAAAGTGAAGCACTTGAAATTGTCTACTTCTTTATGTAATTTTCCTTTTAAAGATTCGAGCATGCACACATGACTTTGTCTCTAAATGCCCATTTTCTGATTTGATGGTTAACTTATCTTCTTTAAGGTTCTTTAAGTTCTTTAGGGAATGTAATAAATAAAGCTAAATCGTGTCTGTTACAATGTATTTATACTGATAATACACACTTGCATGGTTCTTATTGAGATTTGTAATGTGCAGTGTCCTTGGCACACAGACAAATGTTCCTGTCCTTTGAGACACGTGAGAATGATAAGCCATTTTGTCATTAACTGCAAGGCAACTATTTATTGTCTTTAAGGTTTTATGTCTTCACCTTAAATTTTAGTGCCTTAATTATGTGCTTATGGAGAGGAAGATGTGGGTGGAGCATGAACGAAACCAAGGCAAAAAAATGCCAATTTCATGACTCATTTGAGACTGATACCAAATTTGTGTTCATATTTTTTTATTATGTCCAGTTTTCCAATATAACTACGACCATTCTCTTTTTGTGTTTTTCTTTCTTTCAATTTTATATTAATCCTAATCCAATCATTCATGTGAACACCAATTAGAAATGAGATTTAAAAGTTCTAGCTAGAGTTATAAAGTCAAAAATTGCTGTTAGTTTGAAAAGAGTAAAATGTTAAACAAGTTTTGAAACAGTTCCTTTGTAAACACTATTGGTAGAAACTGGAAATTAACAATACAGTGAACGACAACTTCATCATGTAGTTTTGTTCACATACGGCTCCAATAATGTCTAACAACCCTTGTCTTCATCCTCCATACCCTCATACCCTGTTATACACACAAGCGCCATGTGAAAGATTAGGAAATTACAAAAACATGCATGAGTTGCAATTACATATTTGTTTGTTTGTAAAACTTCTTGAAATTATTGTATGATAATCTATTTTTATTATAATAACACTTCTGATTCATATTTTCGTAGTCCATTTTGTACTAATACTCATCACACACCTGCAATACACTCACAATTGACAAAGGAATATATAAAAGTTGAATATATTTTATGAGGGATATTTGCTTCCCAAGAGAAGATGAACAATCTACATCAACCTAGGCACAACTTACGAGGCACAATCATCGGACGTTACCTCATGCTACATTTTCTTCTGCTCACGAAACGTGAGTTTACAGTTAAAACAATCAGATCTTAAACATGTGAAGTACACAAAAAATCATAGAGTTGAAAGAAGCATGACACACCCTGTGCCTGTGATTATAGCACCAGGGATGCGTTTCTATTTTTTAGTGACGCATCTAGGAACTTGATTCATGAACAAACTTGCAACTTAAGCATCAGTTTTATTATTTTTGGCTGAATAACTTATGCATCAATTTGGTTAGAACCAATGCAATCAGAATCTAAACGAGCGTTAAAGGTAAGTACTTGACATAATGATGGTGTGACCAGTTGAATGTAATGGACATGCTTCAGGATTTGACCACAATATGAAGTAAGTGGTCTTCATTACCAGAGAAATGTGGCTTTTAGAAAAATTGAATCAATTGTTATTCATGGTGATTGTTAATCATTTCGGTTCAATTAAATATAAATAGTTCATACAAACAAGTGACAATCTTTATAATTGATGGTTAAATTTTAGTCTTAAACTAGCTTTTAGAATTGAATATTATCTGAACTCAAATTATAAGATTTTTTTATATATATTTAACATAAATTTTGCTTAATACAAACTTGAAAACATGTTAAATGATGTTTGAGGATTAATGGGGTATGTCAAATTATACTGTTTGAGGGTAAGAGGGTATGCCAAATTATGATGTTTGAGGATTAGTAGGGTATGCCATACAAACAAATGATGGAAGATTCTCAATTTGGTTATTTTTAAAATGAAAGATGAAATTACTCCTCAAGTCAAGTCTTGAACTATATATATCTTGGGCAGTGACCCTGTAAAGCTTGTAATAATTGTTAATGTAAGTTTCATTAAGAATGCCCCAGTTGTGTTTTCCATGATGAAAGTGGGGTTCAGACAGACAAGGATTTCCATGTAGGCCACATGATATCATCTAAGTTTTGTAGCTTTGTGTTGGTGTGGGTCCAGATGATTTTCTCTTTACTTAAGTTGATCAAGAAATGTCTCTTGTTTATTCAAGCATGCCACCTGATGAAGGATATTTATGTCTTGCATTATTCTGGTGTGGCATGACCATTCTACTTTGATGCGTATTCAAAGCTATTGATTGCACTATTTGACTTTCGTTTCGGTGGAATTGGTACTCACAGTAAAAAATTCAAGGTTTAAAAGGGTAATTTTGCTTAGGCAGAGATAGAGAGTATATAGCCTTTTTGACTATTATAGCTCTATGTCCAAGTTATTCCAAGTAAACATTTACTTCTCATGAAATTAAAGTAGAATACAACAACTAAAGTAGAATAGTATTTTTTCTGATAAACACCAGCATATAGCATATTCTTTGTTGAAAAATGACTTAATAGAATCCCAATACTTACTTTTCTCATAATGTTTTGAAGTACATCAATTTTAGTCCTTTTTTAAATACTAATCCTCATAGTTAACCTGTGTATATACACACACAAACGATAGATTTATTACTTGTATGGTATTTGAGGAGTGAGAGATTCTTTTGGCAAAGGCAATGTTTGTTATTACTTCTTTTTTATAAAATCATTTCCCACTAAAATCTTGGCCATTATGTATAAGATCGATGCAAGATTATTTTTGAGTCCTACTTGGATCCAAGCTTAATGAGTTTTGAATTTTACCTGAGTGACAACTTCTGAGTGCCTAAGTGTTAATATAATTGTGATTTTATCGAAGTTCAATTTCTTATAGAAGTTCTAAGGGTTGATTTGGGAATGCAGAAACAAATTTTCATAGAATCATGCTGTTTTAAAATGGCGGGAACCTAATGAGATTAAAGTAGCAGCACGTACCAGAAAATCAAACTAGAATCTCAATTTTGGTAGGGTATGGTTAAAAGTATAATATCATAGATATCTATATATTGTTCATTCTTAAGACAGGTCTGATCAGATTAGTTAGGTGGACACTGATTTCATCTATTGGACTAAACTACTGAATACAAGCATACAATAATCCAATAATTGTTTTGGAGTTTATCGGAATAATGCAAAGTTTCTAGTTTCTCCAAGTTTTCATTGTCAAGTTTACGAGACATATATATGGATTGAAGGAAACTGAGATTCATTCATTCTTAGGATTTAAACCATCCATGTCTCTGACTTTGACCACATGGTTGACTGAAGAATAGCAGGTAAAAAGGGTCTGAAATACAAAAGTAAAAAGAAAAAAGGTCTGAACAAGAAAGCAAGAGTCCATTATATGATCACTTTAGAAGAGCTTTCTTTAATTGCTTCTCTCTAATGGCCTTTAAGGTCATCACAATAAAGCTTTTCCTTTCTTTTAGGTTCCTAGACTAAGAGAAAGCTGCCGACAGTGTCGTCACTAAGGTTATGGCATATGATGCAACCACTTTCATTTTCCTGGCAAGTACCTTACTTATTTTTGTTTTTAAGTGGATGAAACATAACTATTTTATCAGAATGTTGTTATTGATTGCACTGTCTAACAGATTAACAATGAAAAAATAATCTCCGAACAACCACCAAATATCTTCAATGGTGATTCTCTTTGATTTTGGGGTTATGTTGTGACACTTTAACATCTAAGTTTTAAAGTAATTGGTCTTGTACTAATATGATATGTCTTTGTTAGCATTTATGACCAAGTGTAAGAATTTAATTCATATAAGGGTAGCTTAAACTTTTAAAGAATTAAGAATAGAACATCCCACTTAAACTTTTAAATGAACCAACCATAGATTCCACTCTAATAATAAATTGGAACGTGACACCCCACACTAAGAAAAAGCAAGTCGAGCATGAAATGAAGTTAATTTTACCACAACTATACTTCCACTGCATCATATTCAGACATTTGGTCTGAGTTTATATATAAACTAAGCTCATGAATTCTAAAATAAGGAATAGAAAAATGTCTCATCTACACTTGTGTCCCAATCTTAAGTGGCTTTATCCACACCCACTAATCAATAAAGGAAAAGCATGCTCTTATTTGTTGATCAATATGCATGTTATTAGGAAACTTTAATTGTTGTTTCAATCTTATTTGTTACAACTTCCATATAGTAAAGAAAGCTCCACTGAGGTCATATATAGAATACACCCAGTGAATCTAATTAACTAGTTTCTTGTGGAGAAATGCATCATAGAAAATCTGGTAGAATGTTCCTAAAATACACCATAATTTCTCTATCTTTCTCTGCTTCTTATTCCATTTTTTTTTTCAGGCTTCACAATATTGTAATTATTCTGGTATAACAGAGAGTTCACATGATTTTATGGCAATAATTGTGCATGCTCTATTGTGACCTGACACCGTGCCATTTTCTGAAGGGTCCTCTAATTACCAACGTAGAGGGAAGTTGAATATTTCTAGAACTTTTTTTCCATATGTGAAGGTGGAAAAACAAGCATCAAGAATTATCTGTGTTTCTCACAATTGCCCTACAATGAAACTGAATCTCATCTTCTTACTAGTGATGATTGATTGCACTCATTGTTGGCATTTTCTGACAGAACATGGTGAGAAACTGCACCAATCTGAGTAATTTAAATGCGCTTCTAAGGGTAACAGTTGTGATGAATATGATGGCACTTGGCAACATGTAGACCCACGGGAGCTACAAATTCTTCTCATTTATTAGATGATGATAATTGATGTATCAAGGACTAGTAGTCCTTTGTCTAGTTATAGTTGTCCATTTCAGTGAACAATAACAGTAGTGGAGTAAGTAACTTCAATTTGTGAGATACAACAAACAAAAAAGGCCTTAGGGAGTGTTTGGTTTTTAGTTTCCAAATTATATTACTTTGCCATGATGGAGAGTTTTTTTTTTTTTTTTCATCTCTGCTCAAACTATAATAGTTTGAAATCTAAGATCATGTTCCAGTACAATTCAGCCATGACTTTGCCAAACATGTTATTCATGAATTAAACTCAGCTGATACTCTCCCATTATGGTTTGAGGTAAGCAACTCAAGCATGCCCTTAAAGTTTGATTAATACTGGTAGCCTTTTATCAGTAAAAGCAAGTCAACTGTAAGTTTTTCATTCATAGGAACTTGAAAATCAAATCTTGAACTTCATATTCAAGTGGTGCCATTCTTATCAATCATATTGCACTATGTTCATATCTCACTTAAACATTTGGTAACCTCTATTGTTACCCCATGTTCTTTTCAGTAACAAATACAACATAATTTACAGGTTGAAGAACCTCTGTGCCAGGTAGATGATGAGTTGGATATTCAAAACAAACAAAACATTGGTAGAAGAGGAATCAAAGAAATAATAATACATAATCTATTGTCTTGTCTCGGGGCATGTTTGGACATTAACTATGTGAGAAAATAATTCATTATATTCTGTGAAACTTATAAAATTAAAGACTTTTTAAAATAAACTTCTCATCATTGTGTTACTTTTTCTTTTTGGATTTAGATGAAAACTATTTTTGTGCTTTTGTGAAATATTTAGTTCAATTTTGCTAAACATTATTCTATCATATTAAATAATCAGCAGTTATATCATGTTCAAAATTATCGATATATTGTGAACATAATTTCTAGTACAAAACCCCACAATACCAGCCATAATAAAATAAAAAATAAAAAACATGTACAAAGTCACCAACAAAATTATTTTCAAGAATCAAGAATATTCAATATAGACACAAAATCTTCTATTGGATATATATATATATATATATATATATATATATATATATATATATATATATATATATAATTGACTACTTTTAATATAAAATAAAATCAAGGATATATAAACAAACTTTTTCCTTAAACATTTAAAAATAAAATAAAATAAAATAAGGAAACATGTTTCTTTATATAAAAATTAGTTTATATTTAAGCAATTTGTTTAATTTCTTTAAATTATTGATTTCAATTTATATATAAATTGATTCTAAATTATTAAAAAGTTTTTTTTTCTCTTTCAAAAGATATAGACAAACTTGCTCAAGCAAATGTTAACCATATTATAACTAAAACATGAAAAAAAATCCTATAAGTGAATTCTCTATAAAACCTTTCTCAGTGTTTGTCTCCTATATTACATAACCTTTTAAGTTTAAAGAGAAATTAGTAATGGAATCAGAAGTTCATATAAAAAAATTCTCTTTGTTACATATGAATCCTTAATGCTAGAGTCAACATCATCTTATGTAAAACATAACATAAATGTATGTAGAAAAAAAAAACAATACAAAAGTGAAGAGTAATGATGTTTTAATCTCTAAATAATTATTACAAAATATTTCTAAGATTAAGTTACATAGCTTAATATATTAAATAGGTTTCATTCATACTTATACAATAGAAAACTTAAGAGTTTAGCCAAGTTACAATAGGAGTTATACAAATTCATATATTAAATAGGTTTCCTAAAGAAATACTTTAAACCAATTTAGAATAAATTCCATAATTATGTCTAAATACATAATGAAATAATTGTAATATTATTGGATCTAAAACATAAAAAAAAAAAAAATAAGTATGGAGTGAAGAGAGTAAATATATGGATGGGAATGATGACGCGCTTTTTAACTATACTTATGGGCTTTTATGAAAAGCCTTTTATGGGCTTATTTTGCCTTTCTGGGCCTATTGTTTTATACCCTTATTATTTTTGGGGTCCAACAATAGTTAGTTTTCGAGGTTGATAAAGAAAAAAAAATTAAACTTATAACCAATATTTAGAGATTAAGGGTTTTCCTTTAATATATTTTTTAATGTATATAACATCTCAACAATAAGATAATTATGAGTGTTTTAGTTATGAAAAATAATGATATTTAAGTTTTTATTTATCTCTTTTATTTATGAGAAAATATTTATCTAATTATGTTTATTCTAAAAATAATATAATTTTTAAAAAATAAACATTCTCTTTCATGTTCTGATATTTATACTAAAGATAATAAAATTATTTCATTGTGGAAATGCTCACATTTTTTTTCATTTTTTTAAATGCTTTTTTGAACATATACTTTAAAAAGTTATATTAATTTCATTTGCAATTAAATTATTTTATTAATTTGTTTCCTGTATTTATTTGATTATAATTATTTATCAATTAAATCATTTTTATTATTTATTTTTTAAAGTGGAATAAACCTGCATATGTTATAACAGGAATACAATTTGAACTTTAAAATGCATTTATAAATATTTTATGTTTTAGTTACTTTCTATATTATTTTTGTCTCTCTTTTTTTCGTTCGTGAAGTTTTTTTTTCCTTCTTTTCTAAGTTTTAATATGCTTCGGATTGTAAAAATATTTTATCTTTTTATTACTAATATGAAAAAACAAATTAAACGTCGGATTGCATCAAATATGTCCTCAATTTTTTTAATTCACCACTTAGTCATTGCCAAAACACTACATTCTTTCTCTTACTTTCTAAAAATTTAAAAGAAATAATTTTTAATTATTGTTGATTGTATTAAAAACAAATCTAATAAGTAATACAGTTCATTTCCATTTAATAGGTTTTTATAACATTAACCTTTTTTTTTGCCAAAAAATGATGATTAACATTAGTACAGTATTATTGTAAGTTCATTGATATTACTTGTGACATGAAAATTTATTTATTGAAATTCATAAAATTAAGTCTTTACAATATACATATATATACATACAAAATGTTCTAGAAATAGACAAGTTTTTTTTAAACAAATTTTAACACATATTTTTTAAGATATGTTACACAGTAAGAATTTCTAAAAGAAAAAGAATTATAAATTAAAATTAATTTTTATATAAAATTAAATTAAAATTTAATAAATTATATAAAGACAACTTCTAATTTTAAATGTTATATATTTTTTATCTTTCGTTTGTATAATTATCCTCGATCATTTCATTTTGACTTCATTCTTTTTGCTTTTATTAGTATCATTATTATTATTAATTTCACGATTTTGGTTACATAAAATAAAATTAATAGATCTATAATACGAATTTAATTTAAATATTACTCCATAAAATAAAATGGAACATGTAAAATCCGACAATGATTAATTACTCAAAAGCCTGGATCTTCTTCTGTACGCAATCTCCACGTGTCAACACAAGAGCCAATGCTGATAAAAATCTCGTCTTGTTCCTTAAAATATCAACAGTAGTGTCACAGTAACTGCAACCGAAGAAAGAATAAGACCGAGAAGAAGAAGATTAGAAAAAGAAGAAAAAAGCCACGATGAGTGGCAGAGCCATTATCTCCTGTTTTTCTCCTCCCTCAACTTCATGCTTCATTCCATTATCGCGCCGAACCCACTTCCCCCATGCACCTCTACCGCCGCGGCTCCTGCTCCCGCGGCGGAGCCACCTCCTCGTTGCCGTCGGGAGGGACAGTGGGAAGATGTGGGCGAATGTGAAGTCGGAGAAGAACGTGTCGGAGACCCCCAAGTATGAGGATGTTGTCGTTCAGAAGGCGCGCGGTTTGGATGACGTGGAGGAGGAAGGCAAGTGGTGGAAGGTGTTCCCCAAGAGATGGGTCATTGTGGTTCTCTGCTTCTCCGCTTTTCTTCTCTGTAACATGGATAGGGTATGTAGCTGTGCTTTTTTCATTCTTTTTTCAACTGCATTGCTCCTTTCTCATTTGCATTCGATTTGGTCCGTGCGAGAAGAAGTTGTATGAGCATTTTTATACTGAATAAGTAAGGCCAATTCTCCAACAAAGCTTGGTGTAGTTGGTGCTCAGACAGTTCCTTAAGCATGCTAATAGGAGTGTTTGGAGATCTCACATTGACTATTTATGTAATCAAAACAGTGTGTGTAAGTGAGTCACAACTCTTACTTCATGTGTTGAATTTTGAGGATTGGGTTTGGTCCAAACTCAATTTAGCTTTTGAGGGTTGAGTCCGAGAGTCTATTTTAGCGGTAACTGTTTACATAGACTTGGGTATTATGGTGTGTCTAAGCCTTACATTGAGTAGTATGAAGTGTTTCATAGAGTAAACACTCAACTGGAAATTCTTTCCCAGTAAATTCATATTCATTGGAAACATTATTGGAATTTGTCTGAAAATTTTATTTTGTTTTCAAATTTGAGGACAGTAATTAAGATGATTCATTCTTTTATGATAGAAATAAGATGTTTGGTGGAAAATACTAGACATTTTAGTAGTTCACATTTACTGTTATTGGAATTAGTTGAGATGAGTAGAAATTTGGAGTATTGACTACTGTTAATAATTAAGACACATGGTAATAAATAAGGGCCTTGTAGTCCAAATTTTCATCTATTAAATATTTCTTAATCCATGTGCAATAACCTCAAACATGAAAAGAAATGGGAAGGAGAGAGTAGATTGTAAACATGGGTTTCCCAAGTGCTTGTGTGCTTATCAAGTGAATTGAATATATTTTAAGGTGGTAGCAGGGTTTATCTTAGGGTTACCAAGCTACCTATGCTCAGAGATGTCCAGTTATGAGCTAGCTTTTTTATTTTTTTGGATTTGAATTAGTCCCAAACTCAAACTAAGAAGGGGGTTCAATCTAAGGGTTTGTTAGGAGAGGCAAAACCTACTTTGGAGATTTGTACACCCTGAAGGGATTAATCTTTGGCTACTGATTGAGATATACCCTTGGATTATGCTACAAGAAGAATACTGAATCAAATTAGAAGTTAAATTTTACTACCCAATTGTATACATTTTAAGTGTCAATTTGGAAGAAATTTTAGAAGTTTTCTGAAATAGTTATGCTGTTCATACTAAGTTTTTGTATTTTTAAGATTTACAAAATAATTTGTTGTATTATGTATAAATATTTTCTATATTTCTGTTTTCTTTCAAAATATGTCATAACATGGCTCACTGAATTTAATCCATCTAATTATGGTTATCAGAAATAAATAATTAGACCATATGGTTTTATTTGAAAACCTCTGTTTAGCACTGCTGTGGAGACTTTACTGGGCATGACTCTAAGAAACTTCCATTGATTTCTCACTTGCAGGTAAATATGAGCATTGCTATACTTCCTATGTCTGCAGAGTATAACTGGAACCCCAGCACTGTAGGTTTGATACAGTCTTCTTTCTTTTGGGGATACCTCCTCACTCAGGTAAATGTTATTTATTTTGATAAAGCTAAGTTTGACTAGTAACTTTTGCCAGTTTGTATGACTTTGAATTTAAGGCCATGAGTCTGAAGGATAGGTAGATTTTTGTTGCAGATTGCTGGTGGAATATGGGCAGATACTGTGGGAGGAAAGCAGGTATTGGGATTTGGCGTGGTTTGGTGGTCAGTTGCCACAGCTCTCACTCCTATAGCTGCCAAACTTGGATTGCCTTTTCTACTGGTTGCTCGTGCATTCATGGGGGTTGGTGAGGTGGGTTATGTTAAAAATTAAAATGTTCCAAATAATACTGCATTCTATTAGGAGAAAGCGTAATGTTGCTACTATGATGGTAAAACAAGAAATCTAGCAAATAAAAACAATGGAATGTTCTTTTCTGGTAATCCATATTGTAACTGATTTTTAATAATGATTTTATTTATCTAGTTGATGAAGACACAATTTGATTAGAATTCTGCTCCATATGAAGCTCACTTGTTTTGGCCTTTTGCTCTTTGCAGGGTGTTGCTATGCCAGCCATGAATAATATTCTGTCAAAATGGGTTCCTGTGTCAGAGAGAAGTAGATCACTAGCACTGGTCTACAGTGGCATGTATCTTGGATCAGTCACTGGACTGGCCTTTTCTCCCTTCCTAATTCATCAGTTTGGATGGCCATCAGTATTTTACTCCTTTGGTTCTCTAGGGACAGTCTGGTTTTCTGTGTGGCTTAGTAAGGTATGATGAATATGTACGATTTTTTCCCCTGCGGAGATGCGTATATATTGAACTTGGAAATACATGTTCAAACATTTTCTCTATAAAAGTGTTTTTTGTCTTGAAGTTGATTCTTTACCATTAGTTTTCTTACAACATATTTTTGTCTGAAAAGATCACCCTATATTGGTAGAATTTTCTATTTGTTCATGTGCTCATCTTTTCTGTTCTTGTGGGAGCTGTAGGCACATAGTTCACCTCTTGAAGATCCTGAACTGCGGCCTGAAGAAAAGAAGCTCATTACTACCAACTGTTTCTCCAAGGAACCTGTGAAAACAATACCTTGGGGATTAATTTTGTCAAAAGCTCCAGTGTGGGCTCTAATAGTGTCCCATTTTTGCCACAACTGGGGAACCTTCATTCTTCTTACATGGATGCCAACATACTATAACCAAGTAAGTCGATCTATCTTTTTGGTTATGTTACTCAATGATGTGGTGCTGACACAGCTAGATCCAGTCCCCCCATTTTTTTCAATATCTTTTTATCCATTTGTCACATACTCTTGTTAATTGTAAACATTCAATGTCATAAATTTCATTATGCAAGCATGCTTGTTGGTGTTTGACCTTTTAAGCATCCTACTTGGGACATTTGTTAAGCCTCTATCCTCAGCATTATCAATATTCAAGTTTATAGAGTTCAACTTTTGGTTGGACATACGTTAATATCCTGACTTGCAAAATATTTTGATTTGTAATCTTCTTGGATACTTGGAAAACAACTGAAACTCTTTACAGTTGACTAAAGTAATTTTTGTATATCTAGGTATTGAAGTTCAATCTTACAGAATCTGGGCTATTTTGTGTTTTACCGTGGTTGATAATGGCACTTTCGGCAAATGTTGGTGGTTGGATTGCAGACACTCTAGTGAGCAAGGGTGTATCAGTTACAAGGGTCCGCAAGGTATCTCCCTTCAGTATGTACAATTTTTTATTTAGTCTTATATCTTCATCTCGAAAAAATAGTTTTTAGGCTAAATTCCTGACCAACTTCCTTTAAATAAAACTATAAAGGGCTAGGGGAGCTATTGCCTTTCCTTTAATCCAAGTAATAATTAGAGCAAATGAATAGAAAATGAATCTCTTCTTTTGTTTGCATAGCTTTCTGAAAATTGTCAGAATTTGTTTATATATTGATGAGTTCATAGTGGGTAATATTTTGTCTCTTAATTTTAATTTGAGAAAAATCATTACTACATGTTGGTATATGCTATTATGATATTTTTTTTTAGTTGTATTGTAACCCAAGCTTTTAGGCTACAGTTTACTTTTATATGTGGCACTATGGCTTACTTTGTAAGAGAGTGCATAAAGCGGGAAATGCGCTGGTACTAAATTTAGAGACAGATCTTCTTTGCCTTCTGTATCCTGAAGTATATAGCAGCTTTTTGACTATTTCTACTATTTTACTGAACATGATTCCATTGCTATAATGTTCTCAGCTTCACTGTGTAGTTATGCATCTTTTGCAGATAATGCAAACAATTGGATTTTTGGGACCGGCTTTCTTCTTAACTCAATTGAGCCACGTTAATTCTCCTGTGATGGCTGTTTTGTGTATGACGTGCAGTCAGGTTTGTTTCTTATTTTCTATTTAACTTATTTTTAATTCTGAGAAGGCATTTTCTGTGTAATCCTAATATAAAATCGGTTTATATTTGTGTGTCTTCTTATATATCTCTGGAGAAAGTTGCTCAATACTTGCATGAAGTTTCTTTAATGAGCTTACTTAAATAATTATATCACTTCTTTTGGTTCATACTGCATAATCTGAAAACTTGACTGGCTAATGTAAATTTTCTAGATAATAGTGTTTTGAAACTTATCTTAAAACAGTATAACTACATATTCTCATTCTGCCAATCTTCGTATAAAGTTAGAAAGTGTCGGTTCATTCCTTATTTCGTTCCATTTACCCTTATTCTTCATCTTCGGTTGCTTAGTGTGCCCTGAGGGATTCGCCTCTAGGAGGAGTTTTCTCTTTCATAACTTGTTTTAAATTCTTCCTGAATAGGGAACTGATGCTTTCTCTCAGTCCGGATTATATTCGAACCATCAAGATATTGCCCCTCGATATTCTGTGAGTGGATTCATTGTACTTTTATTTTTTCTGCAATTTGGAATTCTACAATTTAGAAATATTCTGATGGCCATCTATAGTCATCTCACAATTAATTGGTTAAATAGTTGTTATCCTTTGGGAAAGAAAAGGAAAGAAATCATATTTATTTCCTCTTTTTATCCTTAGGGGATATTGCTTGGTCTATCTAATACTGCTGGAGTATTGGCTGGTGTCTTTGGAACAGCAGCAACAGGTTACATTCTGCAGCATGGTACGTATCTGTTGCTCATATCTTTTGGTGACTGAATGTCAACTATTAATCTTGAAAGATTAAGCTAATGGGTTAAAGATCATGATGATTTTATCACTATTAATACTGAAGATTGAGTATATGTACATTCTGAATTGTGCACAATCTGTGAAGAGCCTTTTGGTATTGGTATGATTTTTAGCAACATGAAAATTTGTTGATAATGTATTCTAGACTACTGTCCCAGAATTCTTTTATTTAATTAATTATTTTTGAGAACAGCATGGTTCTTTTATGTTTTCATTTTGATGGCGAGAATTGAATCAAATCAATAAAGTAAAGTAAAATAAAATAAAATCAAGCCTGTGGTTTGAGCACATCTTGGCCGTGACATTTAGCAGATTACGCAATGTTGAAGCTTTGTAGGCAATAGCATGAGTTAAACGGTTCACCCTACTTGGTTTTCCCTCTTTCCTAAGAAATTCATTTCCTGGTTCGTTAAAATAAATGAAGATCAATGATCATGTAGTTAAAGTTCTAAACTACCGTTGATTTTAGAAAATCCCCACCCTCCTGTTAAAGTTTTGTAGCATAATTTCTTGTGCTGAATACGTCTATGAAATCTGATTCAAGAGAAGAATATAATACTGTTGATTATCTTTGAATATTTTCAGGCTCCTGGGATGATGTTTTCAAGGTTTCAGTTGGGTTGTATTTGGTTGGAACTGTGGTGTTTAATCTTTTTTCAACTGGTGAAAAGGTCTTGGAATAACTACTCTTATTGATCATTGGTACTAGTCATACCGCATGTAGAGATAATTCTCCAGTACTTTCCCACAGAAGAAGCACGACAAGAAGAATAGGAAGTTTACTGAAGAAGCAACTCATTTTACTTAGGCTTTTGTGCCTCACAAAATGGTAAATTTATGGATAGAGGAGTATTGAACAGAGATCAGAGGGATGAAAATGTGTCCTTGAAAGATGAATTGGCATAATTTAGTCCCAGATGTTTTATCAAGGGAAAAGGTTTAGATTCTACTCTCATATTTTTTCCCATTTTTGGTGGGAAGATCATAGTAGTTGCTTAATTTAAAGTCATACTTGTAAATATAATGTTCCACACCAACACTTCAATTTTGTAACAATCCATCAAGAAAAGTGATTATGTGGTATTATTGTTCAAGCTTTCGTCCCTTCCAATTTCTTATCTACCAGTTTTGCTAGGTCAAATTAGTTGGTAATTTGAGTGTTACAAATTAATGGCATAATGAACCTCTGAGTGCTTGGATTTCTTTTCTTATGGGCATCAACTCATCTTTTATCTCAATTTATGGTTTAGATATCGTCGTTTCTATGTATTGGTGGAAAATGAGGTCTTTTTTTTTCATCATTTGATTTGTTTAAATGGGGTGTTTATCTCTAATGAGATTCGAGAGAGGTGTTCATCTAGGATTCTAATGAGGTGATTCTTTTTTGAATTAGTTTGCAAATATTAAATATTTGGTTTTGTTATATAAATAAAATATTCAATTTTTGGTAGTTTAATATTTTTTGTGAGCAAATTGAGTCAAGAAGTCACCAAAGTAACTTTTTTTGAATTGGGCAGTTCATGACAAATATTGAATGCTAGTGTTTGTGTATATTCATGCGAGTATTAGTCGGCCCAAAGGAAGATTAATATTTGGCCGAATTGCATACACACTTGTAATGATAAACATGAGATAATTATAAGGATTTGCTTTGTCGATGATAAATCAATCCAAAGACTGGTTTGTTGTTGGACGTGCTTTATTGTCAATATTTGATTATTACAACAAGATACCTCTAGCAGTTATTATTACTGTCCAAAGACTTGATATTGATGGTGCATTGGGTGTCTTGAGATAGGTTAAACCACTATTTGAATATATATTATTTATTTTTTATATAATGTGAGCATAATTAGTTTATTTCTCGTGTTCTAAATTCAACTACAATTGCTTCTATATCTGCCAATATAAATTTTGTTCCGGTCCTCAATGGAACAAATTTTAAGAACTGGAAAGAGAACATTGATATTATTCTTGGTTGCATGGATATGGATCTTGCGTTAAGGACTCGAGCAACCCCTACTCCTACGGATTCAAGTACATCCGAACGAAAAGAGATTATGAGAAGTGGGATCGCTCAAATCGCATGAGTCTAATGATCATTAAGTGCAGCATCCCAGAGGTGTTTAGGGGCACTGTTTCTAAAAACATCACAAGTGCCAAAGAATTTCTTGCTGAAATTGAGCAGCGCTTTGCAAAAAACGATAAGGCGGAGGCAAACACTCTTCTTCAGAATTTGATCTCCATGAAATATCAAGGAAAAGGAAATATCAGGGAGTACATTCTGAGTATGTCTAATATTGTTTTTAAACTCAAAACACTAAAGCTTGAACTCTCAGAAGACTTGTTCATTCATTTGGTGTTGATTTCTCTTCCTGCAACGTTTAATCAATTTAAGGTATCTTACAACTGTCAGAAGGATAAATGGTCTCTTAATGAACTCATTTCACATTGCGTACAAGAAGAGGAAAGACTAAAACAAGACAAGACAGAAATTGCTCATTTTGCAAGCACCTCCAAGGCTAAGGGCAAAAGAAAGAGATCAGAGGATCTCGAGAAAGAAGCTGCTAAGGGTCCAGAACAAAAGAAAAAAACTCAAGAAAACAAATGTTTCTTTTGTGATAAGACTGGACACGTAAAGAAGAAATGTGCTAAATATCATGCTTGACGTGAAAAGAAAGGGTTGCCTAAACTACTGGAAACCAATTGATTCTGAAAGATGGATTTATGTTGGAGATGACAAATCGGTAGAGGTGGAAGCTATAGGACATTTTAAATTGTTATTGAGAACTGATTTTTTATTTGGATTTGAAAGACACTTTTGTTGTGCCGTCATTTAGACAGAATTTGGTTTCAGTTTCTTATTTGGACAAATTAGGTTATTTGTGTTCATTTGGAAACAATAAGTTCAGTTTGTCTTTTAATTCAGATATTGTTGGAACTGGTTCACTTTTGATTTATGATAATCAATATTTACTTGATATTGTGACCACCTATAATGAAACCCTTAATACAGAATCATGTGGTACTAAACGTAAAATTGAAAATACTCACTCAGGTACATTATGGCACAAGTGCTCAAGTAACAATCAAATCGTGATGTTTGGGCTTGTGTTACACTCTTAAAGATATGGTAGAGAGTATGATTTGTCATTCCACCTTATTGGAATTACTTTGGGGAAAGACACTAAATACGACAGCTTATATTCTAAACAGAGTACCAACTAAAGCAGCTACTAAAACACTTATGAGCTTTGGATTGAGCGACAACTTAGTCTGAAGCATTTCCATATGTGGGATTGTCCAGCTGAGGCAAGACCTTATAAGCCAAATGAAAAGAAATTGGACTCCCGAACAGTAAGTAGTTATTTTATTGGTTATGCTGAAAGATCCAGGGGATATAAATTTTATGATCTCACATTAAAGATAATTTTTGAGATGGGAACTGCTACGTTCTTTGAGGATATTGAGTTTGGGGGGAAGAATAAGATTAAGAACTTCATCTTGGAGGAAGAATCGGTAACAATTTCAGAACTTATTCAAATAGTTACTTTTAATAAAGTTCGGAACCTCCACAAGGCATTGTTGATGAACCCCTTACTCAAGATGATTTGGTTGTTCATGAAGAACAAACTCAAGATCCTCAAGAACCTGTGCATCATGAGCTAATAACTTTGCAGAGATCTACTAGAGAAAGAAGTAGTGCTATTTCGGATGATTACATGATATTTCTTCAAGAACATGAGAAAAATAATGATATAATGGAAGATGACCAAGTTAACTTCCGTCAAGATGTACAAGGTTCTAACTTTCAAAAGTGGATTGAAGCAATGAAGGAGAAGTATAAGTCCATGCAAGACAATAAGGTTTGGGAACTTGTCCCATTACCAGAAGGTATGAAAGTCATTTGGCTTCAAGATGAATATTGTTGATGATTGTGTGTATCACAAGTTTAAAGGGAGACAAGTTTAGTCTCAATCAGTGCCCAAAGGGGAATTTGGAAATTGAGGAAATGCAAAAGATTCCCTATGCATCAGTTGTAGGGAGTTTGATCTATGCCCAAGTATGTACGCATCCAGACATAGCATATATAGTTGGGGTTCTAGGCAGATATTTAAGCAATCCAGGAATAGACCATTGGAAAGCAGCAAAAAGGGTCATAAGATATTTAAAGAGAACAAAAGATTATATGCTCACATATAGGAGGTCAGACCAGTTGGAGATCGCTGAGTTTTCTGACTCAGATTTTGTAGGATGTCAAGAATTTGTAACATGCTATGAGGCATCAAATCATGGAATATGGCTAAGAAATTTTGTCACAAGGCTGCAAATTGTGAAAGACATTGAAAGACCACTTAAGTTATATTGTGACAATAAATCAGCTGTATTATTAAGGAAAGAGTACAAAGTGGACAAATTTCCATAGAACACTTAAGGACAAACTCCATGATAACATATCCTCTAACTAAATGACTTCCGCCCAAGGTCTTTCATGAGCATGTTGCTCACATGGGTGTTTTACAGTTTGAGGAATTTGTGGTTTAGTGGGAGTTAGTCACTTTCATATATTTTATGTTCTATGTTTAATTTCATATATGAATACATTGATTTTTGGACATATTTGATTATCTATAAATATACGGTTTTTTCGTTCATTCATTACACTTTGTACATTAAAGATATTATATCGATCTCAATAAGTTAAAGTTTGGACCAGTTGAAAATAGACGTGTACAGATCACCTTCACGAAATTTTTCATGCTACACATTTCATGATGAATCCATGTCATTTGGTTATGTCAGGATGAGTAATCATTGTTGGTTTTAGTTGTGATGATGCAATGAAAAGCTGGTTTGGTTCTATATTCTTATATGATTAATGGACAGGACTTTTGGAGTATGCTAAAGGAATATAATGACAATTTTGAGCTCATAAAGTCTAACACATTTATAAGGTTGTAAGGACATATATATTTGTGACCAGTGGGAGATTGTTTACAAAATTTGGGTCATGTATATATATGATACATAATTTAAATGTGTTATGGTCATTATTTATTAAGCCAAATAATAAAGTGATTTGACTAAATTAAAGTTTTTGCTAAAGACATATGTCATGAAAATAAAATTGTGTAGAGACCATTGAGCAATTTCTAATTTGATGAGGGACCAAATTGGAAATACTAAAACTTAAGTAATTAACCTAATTCTGGTAATTTTAAGGGGTCGTGGTCCCCTTCTGGGAACACGTACACAGAACGTAAGTATCAGTCCCGTTCCTTTCTTTATATCCCCATCAAGAGAAAAAATCAATAGGGAATATACAAGTGTTATTCAGGTGGAAGACCATAAGATCAATATAGTGCTCTACAAAGACATCATCATTATGATTAATTCAGGTACGCTTTCACATTCAATTTACAACATATTTATCAGTACGGGATTATGTTTATGTTTGATCGTTAGAATCAAAATCAGGATTATTATTATTATTAGTTTTCAGCATTCTATGCATGAATATCATTTTATGAACATGTGTTACAAAATTAAAACTACGTCAACAATTTATTTAAATTGTAAAAGAGGAAATAACAATAATTAATGCATTTAGTTTAAGAACTTAATTTAAACACTGATGATTGTTTTGTTTAAGAAATTATTGAATTAGAAGGTAGAGAAACCA